CTTGTCCAATAAAGCAACTTGATTTGTCCATTCCCGGAATGATAATTTACTCAGATCAGGGTGCGATGAATATAAATGTCCATCTTGGTTTCAATTTAAACTATAAATTTTTAGGAATTGTTCAGAATGTGAGTATTGATTGTTTGTTCAATTCTCATGATGATAAAATATGATCCCTTTCAGAGTCGTTCATCTGGACGAGACTTGTATGTCTGGGAAGCTGTTGAGTACAACAAAACATTTGAAGACCAAAAATGTGACAAACTTGTAACAACTCAATACCTACTTTTGACGGTAAGTAGAGTTGCTCATAGATTTAAAGTATTAACTCTAAATGACTAAAATCAATTTCCATTGATCAGAATGATGACAATCTTGGTGAACAATTTATGCTTCACTCGACAACAATAAATGGCTTCACCAAAACAGGCGTAAGTTTATAAATTATACATTTCATTATAATATAACAAATTTGATTTTAAAATTAAATTTTATTCTCTAGAATAATTATATCAGAGTCCTGGAGACAAGTCGAGTTTACCGTAAATTTGAACCTACAATTCAAAGTGAAGATTATGATTTAAAGCTCAATGTTGATAAATGTTATCCATTTGAATCACAGCACCGAACTATTAAATTACATTTCAAATGTCAGGGTAAGTATTTCTTAAGTGTTTCTTTAGTCCGAATCTAATTCCACTAATAACTCTTCTTATTGATATCACTCAAGGTGACTGTGACCATTTCAAGTCCGAAATATATCAACATCGATTTGCAATAAAATCAATGATAACCCGAACTAATCAAATATCGTCTTCAAGAATATCCAATATGGAAGTTATTCCCGACTCAGATGGAGCGACTGCATACATAAAGTTTCTTGAAGCTCCAGAAATTAAATGTAACCAGATCTTTTTATCAGATTAAGAAAACTCAATAATTATTTTTTTGTTTCATTAGATGCATTTTACTTCGACAGCAGATTCCTGATGCCTGAGAGACTGATCCCTGGATCGTCAATATTTGTAGCAAAGTTTGAGAAAGAATGTTTTGAGGCTGCTGCAAAATCACCAGCAAATTTTCAGTAGGTTTCACTTTAAATTTTTCAACCGTTTGTTCAATCAGAGATTTCTTTAAGTTCAGAAAATTGTTTACATATTTCGATAATAAATATTTTTCAGGAAAATACATAAAAATATGAATAATGATTTGGTTAGCACATCAAAGAAGATCTTTGAGAACTTGAATACCAAGAAGAATTGCTGTAAACCATTTCATTGACGATCTAATGAACTTTCCTTCTTTACACAGGACAGTTATCTTTTGTTATGATCAGGAACGTTGTTTCGCATTTAATGAACAAAAAGACTTGACTAAAAACAGTGATGGAGAATTCTGCAATATCTATCAAATTCCTTTGCGGAATCTACACCGACACAGTCTAGAATTGCCTCTTGATAAAATTGACTTGAGCATCGGATGGAAAAAATTGATCTATAGCTTAACCGACTCGTCGAAGACAGCATTGTACTCATGTGATCTCATGGAGAATGTCGCTTCAAAGGCTGAGAGGCATTTTGATTCACATTACCTTTATGACGATCACACTAGACTGATACCAAATGATGAAAATATACTCAAGATTGATGGAGTTAAAAATGTTGGCGAGTGTTTCCATGCGTGTCAGCAGACAGAGAAGTTTGACTGTAGATCAATATCCATATGTCCTGACGTTGATCAACCCGAATGTATCATATCAAATATATCGAGAAGTGCTTTGACACAAAATGATTTGATGACCAATTCGTCTTGTAAAGTTTTGTACAGAAACCCAATGCTTTATTATGTGAAGGTTTCGAATAGAAAGTACAAAAGTACAATAACCGTTTCCAGAGAAGGTTTTTATGCCGAAAATTGTGCCAATTTATGCTATGAAACGGACGATTGTTTATCATTTCAAGATTGCAATAGAGATTGTACTTTTGGCGGATATTATACAGATTCCTCGACTGAATTCAGTCAAGATTGTGACATTTATATTCGTAAGTAATCATATATCAATAAGTCATCTTAACTCGAGTCCATTAATATTAATCTATTGTATTTTCAGCCAAAGTACTTCACAAGTTTACTGATAATGGCAAAAGGATAGTCTCTAATGTTTTCCATACTGAGCTTGGGTTAACTTTAGACCAATGTGCTGCTCTATGCCATGATTGGGATAATGGAGATGAAGTTTGTCAATCTTTCAACTTTTGTCCATCAACTAAAACCACGAGTTCATGCGAGTTGTCCAATTATAAGATAGAGGATTCGTCGACAAAAACAATCGACTCTAAAATTTGTCACTATGGTATACTATGTCAACTATGGTTACACTTCATTAGGCGTTGAAAAGAGTCAAAATTCAAAAGATAATCGCCATGAAGGTTTAAGTAGGAAAACTGTCATTAGTTTGATTGCAATATTTGTTGGCATTGGTTTCGTGGCTGGTTTTATTTTGCCTGTTGTTTATGCAAAGTTTATATCGACCCAACACTCTAGATTAAATACAAAATAAGAAACAATTATACCTTTTTTAGAAGGGAATATTGTTAGTAAAATAATATTGTTAGTAAATAAAACAAAAGTCAATAAAATTGTTAGTAAACATCAATAACCAAACACTGTTTTCAATTTTCAACAATTATCTTGATTTTGGCTATTGACTTAAAAACTTTAAGCATCAATATTTCAAGAATAGTAACACTTACAAACATTATCTTTGAGTAAACATTAGATTTTATTATGCATTATAATATATTGAAATATCGAATCATTCAAGATTCTACAAAAAAGTTATAGCATTTTATTACTTATTTTTTTCCGATATGAGACTTGATTTATCAAGTTAGATGGTTACTCATTTGTTCAAATAGCATCAAGTTGAAATTAAATGCAAAAAATTTCTCGATCGGCTACTCTGATGTGGTTCGTCGCATTGGTATGCCCAAAATTTCGTGGCTCGCTTTACGACCTTACATGAGACACCTTCTGATTTCTAACGCTATACAACACGTTTTTGTCAGTCACCTCATTCAAAAAAGCCTGTATCTCGAAAACTAAGCGTTTTTTCGCGATTTTGAGTTTGAAATTTTGCGAATTTTCGCCTGTATGATCTAGATAAGGGGAGCGAAGCGTAAGAAAAACCGAGCCCTTTTTGGGATGGGGTTTTTGATAAGGATACCCAGGAAATAGGATCCTACAATGTCCGAAGAGTTCGTAGTTTTTCGAGCAAAAACATGATTCATCCAAAAAGAAAATTTTGTTTTCTCTTTGCTGCATCAATTCTGATAGAAAGTAATGCTACTCTTTACAGCACTGAAAACAGTTCCTCAATCAAAATCTGTAAGCGAAGTTATGACTAAAAAATAGTTTATTCGCAATTATTTAATTGAAAATTTAAATAAATTCAGCCTACATATCTCTTCGCTTCAAAATTTATCTATTTACTTTAAACCTTTCTATTTTTTGCCTAAATAAACACATAAATAACCTATGCATTCAGTTCAGCTTAAAAATCTAGAATGGATCCCTATGATCCAAACTAAAAAATTTTGATCTTATACACTTACAAAAAAGCCACAACACACTGATATTAGTAATTATTAGGTAACTGGGAAAAAGTCAAGCTTTTTTTTACATTTTTTGATGCTTTTCGGGCTACATCACCCTGTTAAATTTTCGCTTATCATTCTCCTTATACGGAGTCCAGATTGAAGGTCCTGGGCGATTTTCTGGACATCTACAAATATGGCCAGGTTTTTCAGCCTTCTCGCAATCTGGTGGATGATTGGGACAAACCTGTCCTGGAGCTCAAGCGATTACACACTTTCTTTCGTGTCGATATTGATTATTCCTGCCAGATTAGTTGACCTAGGTGTATCAAGGCCTCCACTTTTCATTCTAAAAGTTTAAATTTGGTTAGAAGCATATGCAAAACTGTACGAAATTTACAATTTGAACTCGATTTCGTCATTATAAAATATAATTAGACCTATTGAACTATTTGAACTATTTGCACTATTTGAATTATTAGCAAAAAACAAAGGAACTGCTCACAAATTGTAACAAAATCCGTCAAGCGTTGTCCAAAAAGTTCTTACAAAGGTTACTGAGATTAAACTCCAACTATCTTTTCTTTTGTGTAATTTTTGAGTTTGATCCCATTAACTTCTGCATATTTGAAATATTGGCAATCTCTAGGCCACTCGTATCACGGCTATCGTTTGCCGACTTCATTGTCTTTTCTGCTTTTTGAGATGGTGTGCCAGATAAGTGGGCCAAAGTGGGCTGCTTCTATACTACTGTAGTTGGAGGGAACAGAGTCAAAGATATCAATAGGAATAATAAATGAGATGAAATAAATGAAATGATACATGGAAGTAGCATGAAAAGTAATGAATTTCAAGTGAAAACTTTATGCTGATAGTGATAATGTTATTTCATTTGATGATGTCTTTTAAAGATGTGGTTATTAAAGATGATGTTGGTTAAAGGTGATATTGATTGAAGGCACAATTCAATGTTAGTTTATTGGAGTATCAATATATTGAACGTAATGCTCAAATGGGTAACTTGAATTAAGTTAAATTAATATTAAATTTAACGTAAACAATTTAGTCAAATGGATAAAACATTCCAGGTTAGCACTTCAGAGTCGAACTATCAATTTAAATTTTTTTGTTCTGATTTGACGCAATCTCTGTTAAGTAAAAGTTACTCTCGATCACGATACTATCAATAAGAGCACCGCGACATTATACACGCAAATATGATAATCAGAACAACTCAAAGTTTCTAGTGCTTTTATACTCGTTACGTCCGAAAAAATCAATGCAATACATTATATAAGATCTCAATGAGTGCAGAAAACATAACGCCTCTGAAATGTATCGATTAATGATATTGTTGTTTGTGGAATAAACAGAAAGATAAAATAAAAAATTATGAACAAAGGTGAAACAGATAGATTAAGTTAGTGGATCAGAATTATTTACAAATTTTTTCTGTTAACAATTCAATTTAGTTGCCACTTCTGTAACTTGTAGCTCAATACTATGATCCGTTTAATATTAACTTTACTTTTGAGTCAATATTTTGTCTTAATATGGTCAGGTAAGTGATGAACAATTTTGAACAAATTATAACTCTGAATTTAACGGAAAAAATAACATTTCAATGGAAAATTTTTTACAGAATCTTTGAATGATATCAGTCTTAAGGTTGAAAGTGGATCTTGGATCATCAATTCATCTTTAATTGATTCTGTAAGCATAGTCTTAAGTTTGTTTCTTTGCGATTGTTTTCTGAACAAAATTATTTCTTTGAAAGGAAACCAAAACTAAATATACCTTGAACGAGATTATCTATTCTGGTGAATACATCGAAAGTAAGATTTCGATTTCATCTGGTTCACTCAAATGGGATGTTATGCACTCAACAAACAACCGATATCAACGTCTTGTTATTCACGGTAAGGAATGTTGATTGGAAACTTTATCAAGAATTGCATGACTTGAGAAACTATTCTTTGTGGTTCATTGCTAAATAGATAACTGTGAGAGTACACGTACGATACTAGAGTACTAGACGTGTACATGACGTAATCATTGCGTCCTCATGGCAACCCTTCTAGAAGCTTCTGTTGTAACCTTATCACATGTATATATAAGAGAGTGTGCTTTACACCTATGGATACACTTACTTACTGTACTTCCGTCTCATCATCTTACCCTTATTGTTAACCCCTTTGTATATAATTATTACCCAATAAACCTAACCTTTGGCTAAACCATATCCACTCTCTCATGGTAGCAGAGCGTGGTTAGCCAGTCTCTACCCTAAGTAATTTTGCCATTGTGTTTTAAGTAGTTAAGTACTGTGTTACAATTAAGTGTTAAACATGGCAAACAGTTCCTTACTGCAAGTCGATAAGCTCAGTGATTCAAATTATGAAACGTGGAAGATCCAGATGCAAAGTGTACTGATCCATAACGATTTATGGGAAGTTGTCACTGGTACTAAGGACGCTGAGGACAAACAATGGGACCGTAAGGACGCTAAGGCTAAGGCAGAGATTACTCTAAGTGTCAAACCATCAAACTATCGTCTATTCAAGAACGCGAAGACTGCTGCAGATGTATGGACCGCGTTAGGTGAAGCGTACGAGAAGAAAGGGCCTTCACAGTTGGTAACAACGTTCAAGAAATTGATTAAGATGAGTTACCAGACTGAACAAAGTATGTCAAGTTATCTGGAAGAATTCTTCTCTACGGTGGATACGTTGACTAATTTGGGTCTTACGTTGGACGATAAATTTATCTCAGTGATGTTGTTGGTTAGTCTGGGTGATAGTTACGAGATGTTTGTAGTTGCCATCACAAGTCATAATGAAGTACCGTTGCCTTCAGTACTTAAGTCAAAGATTTTAGAAGAGGAGTTAAGAAGGACAAATGGCAATACTGTTACTACAAATACGGCGTTTGGTATTAAGTACTCGCAGCAAACAAGACGTAAAGGACTGAGAATCAAGTGTTACAACTGCAACAAGTTTGGTCATATTGCAGCTAAGTGTGGTAACGTACGTAAAGAACGTACTGTTATTGACAGAGGTCAAAGCGTCTCAAACTCACAGACTATACTGTCTCTTGGATCTAGTACTAAAGATCACCATCTTTGGGTGTTGGACAGTGGAGCAACGGCTCATGTATGCTGTGAGAGAAGTTATTTCAAGAATTTAAGTATTAACAGAAGTGTTATCTCAGTCGCAGACGGAAGGTCAATTCCAACGATTGGAAGCGGTGACATTGAAATGGTGATCGGTGGTCGATCAATGTTAATTAAGAACGTACTTTATGCTGAAGAAGTAGATTGTAATTACTTGTCAGTAGGTCAACTCACATCAAGAGGAAGTAGAGTTGTATTTAAACCTAAAGTTGCGTACGTTTTAAGTACTAAAGGACAAAAGGTCATCGAGTTTAAATTGGAAGATAAATTATACGTTTATAAACACGTTTATGTGAGTAAACTAGCAACAATCAAGTCAAGTACGTCCAATGAAATGATGTTGATCCATAGGAGGTTTGGACACGTCAACTTTGATACTATTAAGGACATGATTATGAGAAAGTCAGTTCATGGACTTAGGCCTGAGCGGGTACGTGACGCTCGTTGTGAATGTTGCTTAAGGAACAAGATAAGTCAGTTACCATACACGAGTTTAACCACCAAGACGCATCGAGTACTTGAATTAATACATTCGGATGTCTCTGGACCGATGCGAGTTGAGTCATTTGGTGGAGCAAAGTACATGATTACATTTATTGATGATTATTCACGTGCTGTTAAAGTGTACTTTATGAAGTGTAAAAGTGAAGCTCTGAATTGTTTTAAAGATTACCAACGTACTATGGAACGCTCAACGGATAAGAAGATCATGAAGTTACGTACTGATAATGGAAAGGAGTACGTAAATGGAGCGTTTGATCAATACTTAAAGGAGCAAGGTATCAGACATGAATTGTCAGTGGAGTATACGCCTCAACAAAACGGTGTTGCAGAGAGAGCAAACCGTACTTTAGTGGAAATGGCTAGATCAATGTTAAATGACACAGGATTGGACGAGCGATTATGGGCTGAAGCGATATCTACAGCCGCGTACTTACGTAACAGAATCGCGTCTAAGGCTATTGATGGGATGACTCCGTTTTAGAAGTTCTATGGTGAGAAACCAAACGTACGTCATCTCAGAGTCTTTGGTTGTCCAGCAATTAAATTGATCAAGAAGCCAGGTTTGGGTAAATTCGATGAACGTGGTGTTAAGCTTATCATGGTTGGTTACTGTTCGGAATCAAAAGCATACAGGCTGTTTGATCCAAGTACGAGCCGAGTAGTGAAAGCTCGAGACGTGAGATTTATGGAAAATCTTCAGTCACCAACATCAGCAGAGATGAAAATTGAATTTATAACCACGTCAGATACTCCGTACGTTGAAAGAGTGACTGAATCACAGATTGAGGAGGCGTCTTCAGAGGAAGAACAAGTTGATTCAGATAGAGAAAATAACGTCCAAGATGAAAGTACTCAAAGTGAAACTAGACGTAGTTACAAAAAGAGATACAGAGACCTTCCACCGAGAGAGACAAGAGATAGGTCTTGTAAACGTACTACTGAAAATCGTGTTGGCAAATTGAAGGTGAGCAAATGTGAGGAAAATGTTCCTTCTACATTTGAGGAGGCGATAAGCTCTCCTGATGCCAAACACTGGTGGCAAGCAATGAGGAACGAGTACGGATCATTGATGAAGAACAAGACGTGGACGTTAGTACCAGACTCAAGTACGAAACGTGTTGTAGGATGTCGATGGGTTTATTCGATGAAGTACAAGCCAAATGGAGAAATAGACAGATACAAGGCTAGGCTAGTTGCTCAAGGTTTTAAGCAACGTTACGGAAGTGATTACACTGAGACTTTTGCTCCAGTAGTTAATCCAGTCAGCCTGAGAACCTTATTTGCTCTATGTGTTGAAAATGGCTACCTCCTACACCAAATGGATGTCAGTACAGCGTACTTGAATGGTGATTTAGAAGAGACAATTTTCATGCAACAACCAGAAGGATTTGAGAAGCCTGGTGATTACGTATGCCACTTAAACAAGTCAATTTACGGGCTCAAACAGAGCGGGCGACAGTGGTACGTGAAGTTAAACTCAACATTAATTGATGATGGCTTCGAGTGCATGAAAAGTGACCAATGTGTTTATGAGAAGAATGGAGTAATCATAGTTGTGTACGTAGATGATTTACTCATAGCTGCTGCAGACTTGGATGAATTGAACAAAGTCAAAAGAAGATTATCCGAGCATTTTGAAATGGTTGATAAAGGCAGCGTACGGAACATTCTTGGTTTAGAGGTTGAACGAACAAGTACGTGCATCAAAGTCAGTCAACGTACTGCAATCGAGAAGTTAATCGAGACACATGGATTGAAGGATTGTAAAACTGTCTCGACACCAATGGAAGTAAACCTGAAGTTCAACCCAGAATCAGCAAAAGTAGACCAAGAAACGTATGGAAGTTTGATTGGATCTTTACATCACATATCAACTTACACAAGACCTGATATTACGTACGCTACTAACAAGTTATCTCAGTACAATCAAGATCCAAGAACAGATCATTTAGTAGCAGCTAAAAGAATCTTAAGGTACTTAAAAGGAACAGTATCTAAGAAGTTGGTTTATACGAGAAGTAGAAAGCAAATGAACGTTTATGCTGACGCAGATTGGGCGTCCGATAATATTAATAGAAAGAGTACAAGTGGTTACGTACTGATGCTAGCAGGAGCTGCCATCGCCTGGAAGTCGTCACGTCAATCAGTAACGGCGCAAAGTTCAGCGGAAGCTGAATACATAGCATTAGCAGCGGCAACAAATGAAATGCTAGGCATCAAGCAATTACTAGAAGGATTAGGTCAGGAAGAGTACGTGAAGCAACCAGTACAAGTATTTAGCGACAGTACTAGCGCTATTGCAATTGGAAAGAATCCAGTAACAAACTCACGTACTAAACACATCGATATCAAATGGCATGTAGTTAGAGAACGGATCGATGAAGGCCTAATAAAGGTTGATTACGTACGATCAGAGGACAATGTTGCAGACGTACTCACAAAGAGTCTTGCTCGAGTGAAGCATGAAGGATTCAGTGAAAAGTTAGGACTTCATGATTAAGCGGGCGTGTGAGAGTACACGTACGATACTAGAGTACTAGACGTGTACATGACGTAATCATTGCGTCCTCATGGCAACCCTTCTAGAAGCTTCTGTTGTAACCTTATCACATGTATATATAAGAGAGTGTGCTTTACACCTATGGATACACTTACTTACTGTACTTCCGTCTCATCATCTTACCCTTATTGTTAACCCCTTTGTATATAATTATTACCCAATAAACCTAACCTTTGGCTAAACCATATCCACTCTCTCAATAACCAATGTGATCTGTTCACTTATAACACCAAATGGGAATCAAAGTTACCTGGGATAACGAATCCATTGTTGAACCACATTCTTCTGGTTGGACCTTCAGTTACACATAGACTGGCTCAACTTTCATGGGTAATTATACCATAAGCATGACCAAAACTACGTGAAATCACATCAAACCAATTACCATGCTCCCCATTCTTTGAGTGTTCAAATTTTCTCAGTGTATAAGCATTCTGTTAATATAGTCCTTGCGTTTGAAAAATCGAAGCATTATTTGGATGCGTTGCTCAAATCGTCAAAATTCTTGAAGAAACAGTAAGAGGTTTCTGAAGTTAGAAGGATAAAGAAAACAATTCCAGAAGAAATTTTCTAAACGAACTATTTATTATATAAATTCATGTTTGTACATTCAAACTCATTACAACTAATTACAGTCTAAGCAAATTGAAAGTGGTTAAATCATACAAATAATAAACTCAAATGAAGAATATGAAAAGTTCATGTTAATTCACCCAAACTTGTAATCATATCGTCCATTCAGCAAGAAGAACCTGACGCCGTGAAGAGAGGAGTAATAATGCACAGTAAAAGTACTTCGATTGGAGGAGCCCGTTTGAATATAACTAATTATTACATGAAAGGTGAGTTTCATTTGTTTTTTCATCTCAGCAGAAGAACGAAAAATCGGCTCCATCAAGATGAATGAAAGTTAACCCAGTTTGATTTAATTCAACATTCGAAATTATTATATTATTTATTGCAAGTTTTGTTTATGATAATTGGAACAGTACTTCTAAGCCCTTAAAAGCGCATACATCAAGGATATGAAAATATTGACAGGTGAAAAAAGGATGCAGAAAATACGCCTCATCGAAAAACTTTGATCTTTCATTATCTTGAATGATTTGTTGTGCTAAAAATTGAGCTATTTACTAGACTTTGCTCTATCTGAAGATTATTGCTATTCAAAGGGCAGCAAATTTGAAATTATAATTAAACTCAACTTGCAAGTTGATTGCGTTAACTGGCAAATTGATTCATTATAAAAAGATGAGAATCTCAATTTACTTACTTATCTTTTATGTTTTTTGCATCGTTTGGGGATCCAGGTGGATGGTTTCAGGATAATGTTGCACCAAGAGTCACAATATTCACTGGTATTGATCCATCTGAGCCTGACTATTCAAGGCAGACAACACTAACATTGGACACTTATATTCAAATGGAAAGTTCTGATGAAAAATTAAAAGCGTTTGTTAAAGTAAATTGATTGTTGAATTATTACATCGATTGAATAATCAATCAAAACTGTTTTGTTTTTTCGCTCCATTTTCTCACAGCCGGAGCCTGGAATCGGATGTCCATTTTATTTCAGCCAAGCTAGAAGTGAACCACAGCTATTTAGCCAAGCATTTTCACGATTACATTACATCGTAGATACAACCGTCAAAAAACCCAAGTCAAAACAGACGGTGAAAAGAGAAGTGGTTTGTACATTATGACATCAGTGGAACGAAGCTCAAACTTGAATTTTCTTTCCCTTTTCAGGCTTATATTGACCAGTTAACACAACAAATGAATATTGAAACCACAATCGAAGGCAAAAAAACTGAAGAAATTTATGATTTCACTTTGGGAATCAAGTATGATGACGATTCTTCGTCTTATTGCTCAATAAAACAACTTGATTTGTCCATTCCTGGAATGATAGTTTATTCAAATCAGGGTAAAATGAATATAAATGCCCATCTTGGTTTCAAGTTGAATTATAAGTTTGTAGGAATCGTTCAAAATGTGAGTAGAAGAGCATTGATTATATGCTTAGCCCTCATACTAATAAAATATGATCACTTTCAGAGCCGTTCATCTGGAAGAGACTTATACGTCTGGGAAGCTGTTGAGTACAGCAAAACATTTGAAGACCAAAAATGTGACAAACTTGTAACAACTCAATACCTACTTTTGACCGTAAGTAGAGTTACTCATTTCAAGTGTTGACACTAAATGACTAAAATCAATTTTCATTGATTAGAATGATGACAATCTTGGTGAAAAATTCATGCTTCACTCGACAACAATTAATGGCTTTACGAAAACAGGCGTAAGTTTATGAATGATACATTTGATTAGAAATTTGATTTTAAAATTAAATTTTATTCTCTAGAATAATTATATCAAAGTCCTGGAGACAAGTCGAGTTTACCGTAAATTTGAACCTACAATTCAGAGTGAAGATTATGATTTAAAGTTCAATGTTGATAAATGTTATCCATTTGAATCACAGCATCGAACTATTAAATTACATTTCAGATGCCAGGGTAAGTATTTAGTACAAATCTGATTCCAATGATAACTCTTCTTACCAATATCCCTCAAGATGACTGTGACCATTTCAAATCCCGAATATATACACACCGATATGCTATAAAATCAATGATAACACGAACTGATCAAATATCGTCTTCAAGAATATCCAATATTGAAGTTATTCCAGACTCAAATGGAGCGACTGCATACATAACATTTCTTGAAGCTCCAGAAATTAAAGGTAACCAGGTGTTGTAATCAGATAAGAAAATCAATAATTATTTATATTGCTTCAATAGATGCATTTAGCTTCGAAACGAAATTCCTGAACTCTGAGAGACTCCTCACTGGATCGTCGTCATTTGTAGCCTACAGTGACATAGATTGCCTTATTAATGCTGCAAAGTCACCAGCAGATTATCGGTAGGTTTTACTTTAAACTTTTCAATCGTTTGGTTAATAAGAGTTCGAACATTTTTTTGAATCTTTCGAGGTTAAACATTTTGTTTGAAAAATTGATGATCTAATGAGCTTTTCTTCTCAAAACAGGACAATTATTTATTGTTATAATGAACGTCACAGTTGTTTCGCATTTAATGAGCAAAAAGACTTGACTGAAAGCTTTTTTGGAGCTAATTGCGATGTATATCAAATTTCTTTGAAAAATTTACACCGTTTCAGTCAAGAATTGCCTCTTGATAAAATTGCTTCGGGCATTGAATGGAAAAATTTCATTTATAGCTTAACCGACTCAACGAAAACAGCATTGTACTCATGTGATCTCATGGAGAACGTCGCAACGTCGAGAAAGGCTAAGAGCCATTTTGATTCACATTACCTTTATGAAGATGACACTAGACTGATACCAAATGATGAAAATATACTCAAGATTGATGGAGTTAAAAATGTTGGCGAATGTTTCCATGCGTGTTCGAAGACTAACAAGTTCGACTGTAGATCAATATCCATATGCCCTGACGTTGACCCACCCGAATGTATCATATCAAATATCTCGGAAAGGGCCTTAACAGATGATGATTCGATGACCAATTCGTCTTGTAAAGTTTTGTACAGAAACCCAATGCTTTATTATGTGAAGGTTGCGAATAGAAAGTACAAAAATCCAGATTCAGTTTCCAGGCCGGGTTCTCCTGAAGATTGTGCTAATTTATGCTATGAAACGGACGATTGTCTATCATTCCAGTATTGCGACGTATTTTGCACTTTTGGTGAATATTATACAGATTCCTCGACTGAATTCAGTCAAGATTGTGACATTTATATTCGTAAGTAATCATATATCAATAAGCCATCTTAACTCGAGTCCATTAATATTAATCCATTGTCTTTTCAGCCAAAGTACTTCACAAGTTTACTGATAATGGCAAAAGGATAGTCTCTAATGTTTTCCATACTGAGCTTGGGTTAACTTTAGACCAATGTGCTGCTCTATGCCATGATTGGGATAATGGAGATGAAGTTTGTCAATCTTTCAACTTTTGTCCATCAACTAAAACCACGAGTTCATGCGAGTTGTCCAAGTATAAGATAGAGGATTCGTCGACAAAAACAATCGACTCTAAAATTTGTCACAACTATGGTTACCCTACATTGAGCGTTGAAAAGAGTCAAAATTCAAAAGATGATCGCCATGAAGGTTTAAGCAGGAAAACTGTCATTAGTTTGATTGCAATATTTGTTGGCATTGGTTTCGTGTCCGGTTTTATTTTTCCTATTGTTTATGCAAAATTTAAATCGACTAATCACTCTAGATTAATTGAAAAATAAGAAATTATTATACATTTTTTGTCAAAAAATAAAACAAGAATCTGGAAAATGTTCACTTTTTATCTGTTATGATTGAAAACTCAACTTATTTTAGGAATCACCAACGTGTGAAACACTTTTCCAAGAAAACCATAAATCTATTAATGTAACAAAATAAGATAATTAAGGTCAAACTTTTCGACAAAAAGTCGATAAAAAAATAACACAAGATCACGGTTGTCTAATCAGCTTATCTTCTCGGTTCGATTGACGAATGGGTTATATCCAATCTTAAAAGCAGATTTTATCTGCAGAATGAAATCCAAAATATTATTTCAGAATATTTAATCGACTGAGTCCACAATAAGTTCATATTCAACTAAAGGAAGTGGTTTTTATAACTTGAATTTCAGATACTGAGTCTGTGTAGTCGTGAAAATAATGCGGCTTATTGATGTGAGAATAGCTAGTTGAGCTGTTAACTTGAGCAGCTGTGGCAGGGAAAACAACAAATAGGAAGGAACACGTCAGCGTTGGTTTGATTAAGTAATTTATTTATATTTGATTTTCTTAATTTGTTGTTAGCTGCTATTAATATCAAAATGGTAAGTTGTATTGTTTAGGTTTGTAGACTTCATGGACTGACATTTGTTTCTTTTATTTGTCTTTAAGCCTCTCAAATTGGATGTACGGAGAAAATTGCTGTCTCGTAGTGATCGAGTCAAATGTGTTGATTTGCACCCGGTAGAGCCGTGGATGCTCTCATCACTTTATAATGGTTTGGTTCATGTATGGAATCATGAAAATCAGCAATTGGTCAAATCCTTTGAAGTTTGTGAGGTTCCTGTTCGGTGTGCAAAATTTGTTGCTCGTAAAAATTGGATTATCACAGGGTCAGATGATATGCAAATACGGGTATTCAATTATAACACTTTGGAAAGGATTCATCAGTTTGAAGCCCATTCTGACTATATTAGATGTATTGTAGTACATTCCACACAGCCTTATGTTTTTACCTCAAGTGATGACATGCTTATCAAACTTTGGAATTGGGACAAAAATTGGGCCTGCACTCAAGTTTACGAGGGACATACTCACTATGTCATGCAAATTGTCATAAACCCTAAAGATAACAATACGTTTGCTAGTGCTTCACTTGACAGGACAGTTAAAGTATGGCAGATGGGGTCAAACACACCAAATTTCACTCTAGAGGGTCATGAGAAAGGAGTAAATTGTGTTGATTATTGTTATAGTGGTGATAAACCTTATCTAATATCTGGTGCAGATGATAGGTAAAGAATAATCATTACCTTAGGTTTAAACCAGACATTAATGATTGTTTTTCTTATTTCTTAGGACCGTCAAAATCTGGGATTACCAAACAAAAACTTGTGTTCAAACATTGGAAGGGCATGCACAAAATGTAACTGCTGTTTGCTATCACCCAGAGCTACCTATCATCATGACTGGATCGGAAGATGGTACAGTTAGAGTTTGGCATTTGAATACTTATCGTCGTGAAAGTACCCTTAATTATGGTCTTGAACGGGTATGGACCATTTGCTGTTTAAAAGGATCCAACAGTGTTGCCATTGGTTTTGACGAGGGAAGTATTATAATTAAACTAGGAAGGGAGGAACCTGCTATGTCTATGGACAGCTCTGGTAAAATTGTATGGGCTAAACATTCAGAATTGCAGCAAGCTAATTTAAAAGCTCTTGTCGATCCGGAAGAATTGAAAGATGGCTATATTTTACCATTGAATGTTAAAGATATGGGAAGCTGTGAAATTTATCCACAAACCATTTCTCATAATTCAAATGGTCGCTTCGTAGTAGTTTGTGGTGACGGAGAATACATTATTTATACTGCCTTAACTTTACGAAACAAAAGTTTCGGTTCAGCTCAAGAATTTGTTTGGGCCCTAGACTCAAGTGAATATGCTGTCAGAGAAAACACAACTTCAGTCAAACTATTTAAAAATTTCAAAGAAAAAACGTCATTCAAACCAGAAGCAGGAGCAGATGGCATTTTTGGAGGATTTCTTCTAGGAGTTAAATCTGTCGCTGGACTCACTTTCCATGAATGGGACTCATTAGAGATTATTAGAAGAATTGAAATTCAACCTAAAAATGTTTATTGGTCGGACAATGGAGATTTAGTAGCTATCGCCACCGAAGATTCTTTCTATATCTTAAGATATCTTCCTGATAACGTTGCCAAAGCAAAAGAAAATCGAGATGAATTGATAACAGAAGACGGAATTATTGATGCATTCGAAGTAGTTACCGATGTCCAAGAGTCTGTCAAATCAGGTTTATGGGTTGGAGATTGTTTCATTTACACTAGCTCGGTCAATAGACTCAATTATTTTGTTGGTGGTCAAATAGTCACTATTGCACATTTAGATAGGTAAGACAGATTAATCATTAAAATTTTATTTCTCTTTTGGTTCATCAATCTAATTGAAATTACTTTTAATTTATTTCAGAACAATGTATCTTTTAGGATACATGCCGAAGGAAAATCGTCTTTATCTTGGTGACAAAGAATTGAATGTTGTTTCATACTCTCTTCTTTTATCAGTTTTGGAATATCAAACAGCAGTAATGCGAGAAGATTTTACAGCCGCTGTGCAAATTTTACCATCTATTCCCAAAGAGCAGCGAACTCGAGTAGCCCATTTCCTAGAAAAACAAGGATTTTTGAGTCAGGCATTAGAAGTATCAACAGACCCTGAGCATAAATTTGATTTAGCTCTTCAGTTAAAAGACACTGAAACTGCTCTTAAATTAGCTGTTGAGGCTCAAAGCGAGCAAAAATGGAAACAATTAGCAGAACTTGCAATGTCCATATGTAAATTTGATCTGGCTCAAGAGTGTTTACATAATGCCAGTGATTATCCTGGACTGATGTTGTTGGCCACCAGCTCAGGAAACTCTAGTATGGTCAATAAGCTAGGAGAGAAAGCTAAAGCTTCGGGAATCTACAACGTTGCGTTCCTTTCATATTTTATTTTGGGTGATAAAGAAAAAGCTTTGAATCTTTTAATCGACACTAACCGGCTTCCCGAGGCTGCATTCTTCGCACGAACCTACCTTCCATCTCATGTACCTAGAGTAGTTAAATTATGGAAAGAAAATGTAATATCGAAAAATGAAAAATTCGCTCAAGCCTTGGCTGATCCCACCGAATATGAAAACCTGTTTCCCAATTTCCAAGACACCTTGTTGGCTGAACAGTATTTAAATGAACAAAGTAAATCAGGCCGACCAAAGGCAACAGATTATCCAACCATTCAAACTAATGAAGATCGAGATCCAATCGAAGAAACTCGAGAAGCACTAGAATCTGGATTATTTGTTAAGAAACCATTTGTATTCCATGAAACAAACCAAGACCAACAATTAAAATCTGAAGAGGGAGAGAAAAAGGAAATAGGAGATTTTGATGAGGATGACGATGAAGAAGCCGTTTATACTCCACCTGAAGATTAATATCTCTTTAAATAAACCTTTTCAATCAATTAACATTTTTGTCAATATCTTATAATTTCAATCCATTTCTAAATTTGTTATCCATAATTATACCTGGAATAACATGTTATCACATGATACTTTTAAATCACTCTGTATTATTTATTTCTGCAAGTTTTTTTCAGGTTTATTCCCTGATTACATTCTTGACCATATTTTAAAGATGCCTATGTAGAATTAACTAATTAACTTAGCTTACTAGAAGTAATTAGAGTTTAAGATTCTCAGATTCCGCTCAAAAGCTGTCAATAGAAATTCAAGCAATTAGTATGAGGTCCCTTGCAACGTAACTGTTTTGGTAAACACAACAGTTGTCACACTTTCATCTAGAGTTCCAGAGTAGGATTTATTATTTTAAATTATCATGGATACTTACATTAATTTAATAATGGACAAGCTTCCACCATATATTCGCGATGATAGATCAACATTAGTTGCTCTTGGAATCACTGTTTTCATCGCATTTCTCACACTAGGTAAGTATATTGAAACTGTTATGCACAATCAGCATCTAATTTTTACCGGGATAACTTAATGAGCTAATTTTTTTGCATCACCAGTTTTGCTAGGATTCCTTTCTAAATCTAGAAAAGGATCTCGAGTGCTTCTAATGGGTCTTTCAGACTCGGGAAAGACCGTGCTTTTTTCACAATTGGTGAGTGGCAAAGCAGTTTCAACATTTACATCAATGAAACAAAATGAGTGCCATCTCAACTTGGAGAGAAGATCTGTTGTTATGATAGATATTCCAGGTAAGCTTGTCAAATTTTAAAGTTAACAATTTTCAAATTGACTAATTAATTCTATTTTCATTCTAGGTTTTGATAGACTTCGGGACAAATATTGGAATGATCTGAAGAAAGGTGTTCGTGCCATTGTTTTTGTCGTGGACTCTTATCAAATAACTTCTAACATCAAAGATGTAGCAGATTACTTTTACACTATTTTAGCTGATAATCTGGTTAGCTCTCAGAAGATTCCTATTTTGGTAGCTTGTAATAAACAAGACAAACCAAAATCCAAATCAAGTAAAGTTATCCGTACTCTCATCGAAAAAGAGATCAACACTATCCGAGAAACTCGACTAGCTGCTCTTGAATCTACAGATGGGGACAGCGAAAATACCCGAATCGTTGGTTCACTAGATAAAGAGTTCGCTTTCAATGATCTTAGAAATGCTATCGATTTTGTCGATTGTGTTGCACTAGCCAAAGAAGAGTCACCATGTGAAATAGAAGAAATTGTTAATTGGTTGAATAAACTTTGATATGTTTTGATGTAATTTGATGTGTTTATTGTGCATGAGCTTTTCAATGATTATGATTACACAAAATTTTGAATGAAGATGTTCGAATTCATAAAACCAAGCTATTAAAACTTGTTTTGTACATAAGTTATTTTATCAATTCAAATTGTAAGTTGATTGTAAGTTAACATGAATCATTATTATGAGCGTCATCATAATTTAATTAAGATCACTGAGATTTATCTGAAATTTGATTCAATGATCAGACAGAATTTGATCAAGCTTCACTTTCTTCAGGAGCTGCAGTTGTTTCTAAATCTGGTTTCAATATTGGAACAATAAGATGTTCCTTAGACATTAGGTTGTATTTAGTCACAAATATGGTAAACCTTTTGCATAAATGACTGGCGTTTTCAAATTCATCAAATAGAGTACGGTGATGAAAATATGCATGGCCAAATATACGATATACCCGACGACACACAGATCCAAGTTTGCTAACTGATGATTCTTTCATCGTTACCCGTGATGGAAAGTATTTTGTATTGTTTAAAAGAGAAGAAGCTCCATCCAAAGTATGCCTCGTATAATCAACAGCTGGGCATTCTTTTGGTGTCTTGTGTGCTGCACACAAGAATATCCATTGTTCCGTTGCAGTCATTTGTAAACACGTTTCAGGAAGACATTCTTTCTGTAATTTAACAGCTAATTTATTCAACTCCATGCAAAATTGGCGAAGATGCTCATATTTCCAGGTACCTTCATCCTGCCCTTCTGGTGGATTCAATATTTCATCTATGTTACTTGGATCACTCCTTATGGATTGTTGTATCAACTGTTGTACGGCTAATGTTGAGTCCATATCTTCAAAAGATTCATCAGGCCAATCGTTAAATTCTGAGCATTTGATTCCTTTAGAATTGCGACGAAGCACAATTGTTTTAGTGGGAACTGTCATTATCGCCAGTTTGACACTTGACAATGCAAACAAAGTATAGAAAAGGTTAGAACAGCACAAAGGTGTGAATAAGATTAACTCTTGTGCATCTAGCACTTATAATTCAAACCAAAATGAAAGGTAATTCGCATTCAGAATGTAATAAATTGTAGTTACAAAAATTGTTTTAATGAAAAGACTTATAAATTGAGAGTAAAAAATAATAAGAAATAAAAAATGTGAATTGCTGTTGAAATAACCCGGCTTATTGATGTGAAAATAGCTGTCTGAGCTGATCAGCTTGAGCAGCTGTTGATAAGAAAACAACAACATTGGAACGCATGAGAATTGATTCGATCAAGTAATTTATTTCAAGTTTAAAATCACAAATTGTTGATAACTGCCACTAATATCGAAATGGTAAGTAGTTAAAAATGTCTCTGTTGCGAATCGGTCAACTGTTTCGTAGCTGTCATTGCTAACTATTCGTCAATCTTTTCCTATTTGAACTTTTTTCAATATTTCCTATGAATTTATCCTTTTAAATACAATTTAATCTTTTGTAAATATCTCATGAATATAAGTTAAGAAATTTAATTGACTTTAATGTTTTCTTTCAGCCTCCTAAACTAGATGCAAAGAGATTTCGTACGGAACTGATGAGGTGTTTCACTGGAGATGGGAAAAAATCACCGTTACCCTTTATATGTGCCCTGTTAATTATCTTTGAGATTTTTCTTAACGTGTATATTGTTCAACGTATCAAATGTGCGTAGTCAATTCAATTATAAAATTATGCTGACTTAATGACATCCTCCAATTACTTTATTTCAGATACAGAAATCGATTGGAGTACTTATATGCAACAGGTTAAATGTTTCCTAAATGGCGAACTCAATTACGCTAACATCTCTGGTGATACTGGTCCTATTGTTTATCCTGCAGGCCATTTGTATATTTATTCAATTCTCTACTTCTTAACAAACCAAGGAACATCAATTCGCCTTGGTCAATATTTTTTCGTTATTTTATACATATTTAATCTAGTAGCTGTTTTCAACATTTATAATCAAGTTCGAAAGGTAAAATGATTTGCTGTTTGTTTCTCTCATCACCAAATTGAAAACAAATGCTTTGATTGTTTCCAATATCTCAATTACACACGGTTAATCAATTTCTTTTATAAGCAATGCTTAGAAAATTGATTTCAACTTGGTCATGAGAAGACAAACAGTGATGATGTCAATTTCAACTTCGTATCAAATTTATATAATCAATATTATCAATTGTTTCCAGGTCCCTCCATATGTTTTGATGATGATGTCCTTTACTTCATACCGAATTCATTCAATATACTCTTTGAGACTTTTCAATGATCCAATCGCCATGTTTGCTCTCTATTGTTCTATCAATCTCATTTTATACCGTCACTGGAAATCAGCTGCTTTTTTATTCAGGTTCGTTAGATTTTGAAGTCAACTGTTTTACCCAGTCTTGCACTTAAAACCTAATCAGTTTTTGATTCAACACTTTGCTCAAATTACTTTAGATGCAAAACAATGGCTTTTTTGCATTCAAATTAACTTGATCATCAAACTAACGTATGAAAACATCCAATTTTCAAACCTTTAGCATAAGAAAGTTGTCATTATGATTTAAACTACTTCTTATTAATCTGATCAAGTTTCAAAATTCGAGACTAACGAATTCAGCCAATTAATCTTAACATTTCCAACTTAGCCTAACACCTTATATAGGCTTTAAACTGTCACCATAAAATGCAATGTTCAATTGAATGCACAATATTTATTGCGTTGAAGCATAAATGTCGAAATGATCTCATGATTCGCATTTTGGTAACCATTATAATCATCAAATATCACTTGAATCGCTATCCAAGCGAAAAATAATTCATTGATGATGATATATAGATAACAATTATTGATACTATATTATGTGAACTCTTCTCAAAAGGTAAAGATTGATTTTGTTACCAGAAAAAAGCAAAAAAAACTCGCAGTTTCTCTCATCTTTTTGTTCCCTTCATAACTCAATCTTGCCAGTATTGAATAGCAATTTCCCCAACAGAATTGGATTATTTTTCATCTTTGCTTGTCAAATTTCTAGCTCATTGAAAATATCAAATAAATGCAAGTAAATTGAGCCTCTTAATTGTGTGATGCTACACTCAAGTCGATCAAAAAGAGTAACCTTATAGTGATGACATTAAGTGGAACATCAGAAAGTATCAGTTACAATGGCAAGTACATTCATTAAGTGGAACATCAGAAAGTATCAGTTACAATGGCAAGTACATTCAACAAGTAAAAAGGACAAAAATAAAAAATTTATCCATCTTTCATCAACCTTTATCAAGAATTAATTTCCCAAATTAAGCATTATCCTTTTCATCATAATTCTATCGCCAAATGAAATACTTTTCTCATTAATTCGCATGAAAACCCACGCAACATCATCAACATTCGTTGCCTTGATTCTCGTCTTATTACAATATAATACAATCGTGGTTTTCATTCCTTCCTCATCCAGTTTCATCTTTTCTCTTATCGATTAACATTTTACCTTTTTCTTCAATTCCCTTCAACCCAATCCTCATTACAACCAGTTAATTGTTCAACTAATTAACTAATTATTTGTGGTCCTTTCCTTTCTCTTACCAAATGCAGATTGAGAAATGAAAACAAATTATGAAGTCTGAATTGACCTCAAATGGTTTGCCTCGTGTTTACATGCAAATCCTAGCAAAATGTTTCCTTTCAACGTGAAAACTCATAGACTAAAACCTAAAACTGATTGTTTCCATTAGATTGGTTTAAAGGAGTGAAAGTTAATTAAAAAACCAAGTTAATCAATTAAACAATTAAGGTTGCTTAAGAAAAGATTTTCATTGTTTTTAAGGTTACATTTTAAATCTTGCAATTGTTTCATTATCCGTTAATTTTAACAACATTTTAATTCCAGTCAATGCAGACTAAACCCAAATAATCTTATTAGGTTTATAATAAGTTTATTAGTTAATCTGCTTTATACAACATTTTGATATTTTTCTAATCACATTTCTATCTGATTACATTCATCATCTTGTTCCATTCTCATCATATCCTTTTCCAATCTATTCAGTTTTCACCTTTTCCTGTTTGTCCTTTTACTTTCGCTCGCCTAAATTGCTACAAACAATCTATTGTTATCATTATTTCAAGGCGGAAGAAACAGAAAATGAAAACAATAACTAATAATAACTTAAATTAATGATTATTAGATTTACATTATGATCAACAATTACTTGCATCTTTCCTTTTAACCTTAACCAGGTTACCTTCATTTTTGTGTTGCTAAATTAATGATTACATGTCAATATTGTTACACAAATACACTTTCAAACTCTTGATTATCTTCAATTAAAACAATTGAGCTTTCAGATCAACACTTTGCAATTGTAAATATACTCAGAGCCTCGATGAAATATTTACACTTTTCAGCACTTGTAACTTTTCAACCGGTTGAACAAAAAATATCAAACTAACGCCATTCGATAGAAAAATGTTCAAGTTTTATTTCCAAAGCTTCGTACTTTTTCGGTTGGTCGGAAATTCATAAAAGTGACACATTTGGATCCATTTCGATTTATGCCATTTGTGCTCTTTTAGATAGTTTGAAGATAGCTGATTTCGGTCAATGCATTCCTGAGATATTCTCAAGTTAAAATGTTCAGCATTGACCGAAATCGTTGGCATCGAAATTATTCATTTATTGCCCGAACTTTAGAAATAAATCCTTCAACAGTCATGAGAATATTCAAAAGACAAAATATGAATGAAGACTCGAGTAATGATTCAAGAACTGAAAGTCGAATGTCTTATTGAATTGATTTTTTAGTTGCCGTGTTAACGTTCAACTGCTAACCTTTGAATCTTGAAATGCTAAAGAACATTTTAATTAATCGAACCTCAATAAGTTTGTTTCAATTTTTTTCAACTCCACTTCATTCATATTCACTTGAACACAAAATATTTAAAATTAAATTTTTTCGTCATCACTGTACTTGAAGTTTAACGAGATTGTACTTAAAAAGATATTTTGGACATCATCTTGAGTCCATTAAGCCTTGAACTGTTCGTAATTTATTTCAACTTGTAAATGTTTAAGTAAAGCCAATTTGATCCTCTTTGTTGATTAGTTTATATAAGGAAGAATCTAAATTATGCAAATGTTCCTACACAAATTGTTATCAAATAGACTGACCTTTGATTGGCTAATTGATGATTATTTAACCTTAATGATAATTAGTTTATAATTTAATTTTTGCCAAAAATTGTGTCAATTATGATTCCTTCCGTAACAAAATTAAATGTAGACAATGAGCTTATTTTCACTATTTTTATTTACTCATCAATCGATAGTTCATCTTTCATCTCTTCCTTAACAATTGAATCTCACTTTTCTCTTAATCTCTTTACCTTGCAATAAGCTTTTACCTTTCAAAGGTAATCTGTATTTTTCATCCCTTTTATCGTCATCATCATCATCATCATCTTACCTCTTGCTTTACTTTAAAATTAATTGAATCAAATTGACAAAAGCAAAGTGAACAAAAACAAACAAAAAACCATGAAAACAACAATGATTGTGTCAAGTCAAAAGCGAGTAAATCCTTCAAAGTATATCAACTTTTAAGTACAATTAATCTGGTCCAATCAAAGTGTGAATCAGAATCGAAAGACATTCAAGATTCGAGCAACTAATAATGTCCAAATCGTATTAAATAGCATCTTAATTATAACAACAAGAAAAGCTTTCAACAAAAATCCTATTATTTCAATTCCTATCAACCTTATTAACTGTTTAATAAAACTATTGATTAAAAAGCCAAAGTCATCAATCAAACTCTCATTAATGATTAATCTCGAGTTGAATAAAGTTTTTTAATTATTTCACTGAGCAACAAATTAACCAATTAACTTTTCTGTTGACTGAAAAATTAATGGGAAAACAAAAATTTCCACTTGAAATGAATAATCATAATTTTTGAATAACAATTAAATTTAAACCTCAATTACCGCACACTTGATTCACTATTTACCTTGTTAATGGAAATTGGTAAACTTTTGATGATTTTTTTTCTCATCTTTCATCAATTAAAGATAATAAAAAGCCATCAACAAAATAGCCAAATACAATTAAATTTTGCAAACTTGAATAGCAAAAAATTAAATGCTCAACAAATATTTAATTTAATTTCACCCAAACTTTCCATTTCAAAGCTTTTCCCATTCATCACAACTTTGATCAATTATTAAACATTTAAAAACTTTCTCAATGACAATGAGAAAATAAATAATCAACTAAATAATCAATTTATCAATACATTCCTCAATTCATTTGATTACATAAACATTCATGTTTTCCTTCTTCCAACAGCATTGCAGTCTCGATAAAAATGAATATACTTCTGTTTGCTCCTGGATTGTTGTTGATATTTCTTGAAGAAACTGGCCTTCGTAATACCATCAAGTACTTAATAATATGTGCCTTAACCCAGGTAAGTGTATTCATATTAAATTGATAACGTAAACATTTGCAATTATCTCGAGAATTTTGTTTATTCATTTGTTACCTTTGCTGTGAAAGGTTATGAAAACAATATTTTTTCATGATAACTAATTTTCTGCTGAAATATTTCTTCTTAAAACTTGCTTTTTTATATTAATTTGGCCAATGAAATTTTTCGCCCATTAACTTATTAACTCATCTATTAACTGACTATTAGTTTTGACCTTTTCGCGAGAAAAAAACTGTTTCCGAATTTCATTCTCAATCCTACTCATCTGACATGATGTACTTGAACTATACAACTTTATTGATTTTCCTTGGAATCAAACTGAAAATGTAAATAAGGTATAAGTTGTTGAGCGGATGTAAACATTTCAGGTTAACATTTTCATTTAAAAATTCATCTATTCTGCTTAGATTGACACTTGTTATCATGTTCATATTGATACTTTTGTTAACCTTGTCATTTTGTTTGTACTCTTTAGTTTCACCAATTTCAAGAAAGATTGATGAAGCTTGATATTTAGACTGTTTACTTGATCAAATATTTAATTTTTCATGTTTAAATTTCACATTTTATTCAGTAAATTCCAACTCTGTCAGCATTTCCTGTTTTTTTCCTCTCATTTCATTTCTTTTCTTTTTTCTTCTTCCTTCAAACTTTCCTATCTTTCTTACCACAAGTATAAACAGTTTTCACCATTCATTTTACATTTATCATGATGAGCTCATGAGTTACAAGATTTTCACAAAATTTCATGTTTTTTAATTTCTTCAACTTGCCCTCAACTCTTTCCATTCAATCATCATTATTTTATCATTATTTCATTCTTTCACTTTTACCATGTAAAGTTATGAATAAAAATAAGGTTAAAGAACTTTGCTGGCAAATATTAATGTTGAACAACATTCTGGCAACATTATTATCTTGCCAAGTATTGTTATTATAATATCAAATTGTATTTGATTATCAGTTTCCACTTTTTTTCCCTTATCCAATAACCTGTATCATGATGATGGCCCATGACGTCTTTCATCATGAGAAACTGAACCATGAAAATGAGAGAAAACAACTTTTACTGGTCAAAACTTCAACCCTTGAAACTATTCATTTATCGAAGCAGAAGCTAAGATGAACATTATCTCGATCCATTTATTATGCATCAACACCTTTTTTTGCCTTGAGTTGATATTTTTTGAGGAACCAAAAAAAGTTTAAGGATCAAAGAGCACTAAGAATTTAAAAACATCATATTTCAGGTTATCTTATTTTTTCCACTATTCATCAAGTTATAATTCCCTTCCCTGTTAACACCTTTTATCACAATTTACTTTTATTCAGCCAATATAATCGAAATGAACTCTCATTGTAACATGATTTTTTGCTCCTTTTTTTCAAAAGGTTAATGCTATTTGTTGAGAGTTAAAAACTCTCATTATGAGATTTATATTCAATTAGGACACTTTTCATGACAATATTGAAATGCTTTGTAAGAAAACTGAATTATTTTGTTCATTGTTAATGGAAATTTAAATTGATGGATCAACTTTAATAAAACTTGATTCTCTATTATTTTATCAGTGTCTTCACTTGATAACATTTTCTTCAGTTTTTATTTCCATTCTTTTCTCTTTTTTTTTGTGCCAATATTTTTAGCAAAACTCATGTACGAAATTGAAGTTATCCTGAAACACGATATCACATTAGTTAATTGATTAATTTCGTCAATTAATTGACTATCCATTCCTAAATCATGTTGTTGTTTAGTCATTCAAGTAAAATAATCTGCTTAACCATTCATCAACCGATGAAATGATTGTCAATGAAACCCATTATTCAAGAGTTCTATTCATGTAAATTCAAACTAAATTTCTTTTCTTTTCAGATTCTTTTAGGTTTACCTTTTCTCTTGACGCATCCAGTCAGTTACATCACTTCAGCTTTCAACTTTGGACGAGTTTTCCTTTACAAATGGACAGTTAATTGGCGACTAATTGATGAGAAATTGTTTCTCAATCGTCATTTCCATCTTTCACTTTTAACTTTACACATTTTCTTGTTGATCCTCTTTTTTGGCAAAAGGTCAGTCTGCATCTTACTGAGTTTTCATCAAAATGAGTTGAATAAAAATTGCGTTCTTAACCTAATTTAGTTAGGTAACAATGTTACATCCCTTTCGAGCATGAAACTTGAACCAATTGTGACATTTTATCTTGAAGTTTACTTGAAATTTTAGTTGCGATGTTAGTGTTAATCTTTAGCTCTATTAACCTGATTTAGGGTTGAAACCAATTAAAACATTCTGATTGTCCCAATTACCTAAACTCCCTGTAACTCATGATTACTGCGTTTTATCACAATATTCAACTTTTGTTACTTTTTGTGTTGCTTGCTTTCCATATCCTTAAGGTAGATTCCTTAAGCTCTTCCAATCGCTCATTTTTTTCGACTTTGTTTTCTTTCTTTTTGTTCGACTCCCAGTAAATTTTATGTTCAATATGAACTAATGAATTGTTTATAAGTTGGCAAAAAATAGTTGACATGAATCCCTGGGAGTTGAGAGGAAAGTGAATAAACTCAAAAATAAGAAAACATTGACACAATTCTAATGGCAATACTTATTTGATAATGGATTATCTCAACAGGTATTCGCGTCTTCTATCGTCACCTAGATTCTGGTCCAAAAACTCATTCAAGTCAATTATCAGTAAATCAAATCAGGAAAAATCATCTAATCAAAGTAATAACTTGTTTGCTATTTATTCTGGTATTTTTGTTATTATTTTGTTTACTCTTTTCAACCAGGAATCCTGTTTACATTATTTGCAAGCAACTTGATTGGTATAACTGTTGCTCGATCGCTTCATTATCAGTTTTATGTCTGGTATTATCATTCACTGCCTTATTTGATCTGGTCGACCAACTATTCAACAGTTTCGAAGTAAGTTGCTTCTTCTGTCAATCAAGAGTCCTTTTAATCACTGTTTAATCATGACTCATGAAAACGATGAAACGACACTTAAGTTTTGTATAAACATTACACTGAATATAACAGCTAAAATCGTTAATAACTTTTTTTCTCCAATTATGATATTTTTTAATACATATTAATACATTCAATGCACTCGCATGTATAATGTTCTGGTGCTTCAAGATGCGCTCCTTAAGAGCACTTTTGCTGTCCACTAAGTGGCTCTTAGAATCTAGTTCATGGCCACTTCGAACTTTTAGAGTTAATAGAAGAAAAGTTGACGAATCACTAAAAGTTAATCGTCCTAATTCAAATATTCATTAAAATTTCTCTTCTCGAATTGCGAACTAACAAATTTTTCTTTTCCTGGAATGTCGCTCGCTCTGTTAACCAAAAGACGCTCTTATTGATCACTGTATTACTAAGAGCACCATGACATTATACACTCGAATGCGGTAGTTAAAGTTTTGTTCAATAGTTTAGAGGAAAAAAGTCGACTCTAGGGAATCCATTATGTTAATTGAAAGCTGAAAAATTTTAATTTTCAGAGGTACAATTTCGAACCATAAATCGTGAGTGAAATAACACAAAGCGCTTTGGAGGGTTTCTTCTGACTCAAAAGTATTGACTTTAAATAATAATTATGACAAAATGATATCAATGATAGAAAATCATTCCCACTTGATTCCGTTCTGCTTTAATTTCACTTTTGCCCTAAAATGTGAGATTTTGCATTTTCGAAGTGCATACCGCTGGAATGAAAGCGATGCATCGTTGGATAGAAAAATTTTGGAAAAATTGTGTTGAATTAGAAGCGTCATTTTCTGGACTTTGAAACAGTATTGCACCCTATAGAGTCTTTGAAAGGTATGGATCTGTCATGATTGAAGTGGAAGAGTAAATCGAAACTTTGATTCAGATAAATTGAACAGAATGATGGCTCACATTTGTTTGCAATTTAAGGTTTAACTGTATCATTTATTTACCTGGGATTGATAGTTCTCTTTTCATATGCTTTAGTTACGGCTAACTTAATGAGTTTGATTTGGAATATATTAACTTCATTTTATTTCTCTTATTCGTTTACCTCCCACTGAATAAAAGTTGATTACTTAATTTTTACCACAGAAAACAAAACAGGCAATAAAAAAAGCTAATGAGAATGTAAATAGACTTAATTTCATTCGGTTATAAACAAAACAAATTGCATTCTAACTCTAAATAGATTGTTATTTGTGTGCTAAAATTCACATTCAAATTGATATCATAGTCTAATGTACTCCATCCTTTCACATGGTCTTTAATAATTTTATAAACGAGGTGAAATCAACTTGACTAATTTTCTTTTTTCTGGACCCTGAAACAATTAATTCTGGACCATAAAGAGTTACATCTATAACAGATGGACAAATTGATGCCGTAAACCAGCGTGTTTTTTAGCACTTAACCTTTCTTGTTTCAGACACAGAAATAAATAGCAAAACTAAATATCTCATTTAGTATCTTATGCACATATTGAGATAAGTTAATCTATCCAATTTGATAGGAAAACCATCATTCATGGATCGAGACTCAGGAACATGTTGATTACATTGAATAAAATGTAAACAATAACAGCTTTTCCCGACTGATTATCATTTACTAGTTGACAATATCAAGTCAAGTTACTTTTAAAAAATGATCGAAACTCAATTTTCGAAGCCAAGAAGAGAGTCTAAATCGGTAAACCTAATGATGCCCAAGACTCCAAAATTGACCATTTATGGCAACTTTAAAGGTCGCTATCGTTTTGTTTTTGTTAAAATTTTGATAGATTCGCTTAGAAAGCTGAGAATGAAATGAAAATTGAAATTATGACTCAGCCTGAGGTGAAAATTATTCAGTGAGATTCGTCTTCTCGCTTAGTTGGAAAGGAAACAGATTTTGATTTGATCCTTTGGTTGACAAAATATTGTTATTCAGTTGTAATCAAATATTTCATCATTTCATGACTTGTTGATTAAAATTTTGCTCTTTCTAATTCGTTATTATAGTGTTGTAATAGTTTTGCTAATTGTTAATTTTCTAATTACATTGCATTTCACCTTACAGGCTTTGCTTGATGGGAATAATTGAATTCTGCTGGAACATCTATCCATCAACAACATTCAGCAGTGGGCTTCTTCACTTGGCTCATGTTTCACTTCTCTCCGCCCTTTGTGTTTAGATTCATTTCTCCAAAAGTTGATTCAATTTGGTGATACTCAACCGATTGGACACAATTAAGACAAGTGCGCATAAAGAGTTATCAAATAAAAGAGGCAAAAAAATAAACCCAACTGAGCATTCTTTTCATTATTATTATCATTTGAATGGCAAAAATGCTTATTGATTCCCTGTTTCTGCGCACCTCTTGGGAGTTAAAAAAGTAAAGTATATTATCATTTGTTTCACTTTCAGGTCGTTTCAAGAGTCGAGGCCATCTTTTTATCCCATTTCATGATAAGTTTTCCTATCAAACTATTCATTGCTTTCTTAATTATTACCTTAAATTGATTGGAAATTTTTTCCTCAAGATTGCGATCAAAGAAAAAGAGAGAAAGAAAAAGTCGAAAGTGAAGAAAAATCGGTTAAACCTGAAAAGTTGTATTAATTATTTACAGTGTTAATGCCAAAAAGTATCTCAACTCTGATCGTTTGAGTGTGTCTTTAACTCAAACTCACTCATTCACACTGAGTTGTTTCAAGACTTGAATAATAAACTCAATCAAATATATAAATAATAGCGTAAAGTCAAATTTTTTTCAGTGAGACAACTTTTTGTAGATCAGAGACTCGATTCGAGTTGTAATAAATATCAATTGAAAAGTAAAGCTACAAACCTTTTTACATATTTTAACTTCAACTTTTAATCAACTCTAAACAAGTGAACTTCAACTTTCAACTTTACCCACATTCAACTATTCAAAGTGAATTTTATCCGTTTTGCAATTATGGGCTATAATTTGAAGAAAAGTTTAATCACACTTTTCCTGATAACATTGATTCTGTTAATCAATATCGTTTCCAGTCTTGCCGTGAATCGGGAAACAATTAAACGGAATACTGATGAACAAGATGATGAATGGATCGCTAAACAGGTAAATAACCAGAAAACCCAATTTCCTTGAGAGAACCAGAACTTTTATTTTCTCCAATTTTCTCTTATCAATCTTCTAATTCAATTTGAATTTTGCATTTTTATTTTTAACCCAATTTTTCTTGCTTCTTCTTAACTTTAACAATCAATTTCAACATTTAATCATTCAATTCCCTTGATTAATGAAATAATGAACCCTTTTTACCTTCGAAAGGATTTGTTGCTATAAAATATTTATTCAATATCAATGTTGAAAGGTGAACATTCCCTTGACAATATTTTTACATTTCAATTACTCGATAAATATTATCATCAATTGAGATTAACTTAACAAATCAATCGGCTTAAGAATCGCTCGATAACATTTAAATTTAATGTCAACCCAATTTGCTCCAAGACAAATGTAGGAAAATATTGTTATGGCAATTGTTACAGCAAAGGCGATGAACCTTTACAATGTTGACGTTGGACTTAACCATTCAATTTAATTACATTAGTTTAACCAAACAACATAATCAAATTGTTTGTCAATCTTGTTTTTCCTCTTCCAACATTTGCTTTATTCAATTTTGTCACAATTTTAATTTTGATTTTGATTTTAGACTAATTTGCTTTTCACTTTTTGTCTTTTGTTTAAAATTAGAAACCAAATGTTGCTGATTTAGCGTTTAATTCCGATGCTGGTGATTATTTGGAAAAATTAGCGACATTATTTAGTCCTCGATATCGAAGTGGACGTTGGTCAGCATCATCATTGAACTCAGTGATTCCGGAGAAGAGGCAAATTCGTTATCATCAATGTTACTTCAATCCAATCTCTTGTTTTAGACGACGAAAGTGATTCTGTAAAGAAAATGTTTCTTCTTCTTATTCTTTACTTTTTCCTCTTTTTGCGTCTCTTTTTTGAGTTTATTTTTACCGACAAAACCAACAGATGAACAAATCAACAAATATCGATTTTAATTGTGATGGCAAACTTGAAAGAAACGTTGAAATTGAGGTAAAACCAAATGAACTCTTGATGTAAAACTACAGTTATGTATGAAACATTTTATGATTTTTTGAATGGTGATCATGTTCATTAATAAATCATTTAAACAAACTAAATGAGAGAAAGATGATTAAAAGCATAATTGGGAATTTAAAGCAAATTGTAAACCAAATGGGAGACGCAGGGATCTGTGTATAATCCAGTGTATAATGTTTAGTGGGTTTGTGTGTGTTCAATTTTCCCATTAAATTGTGTGATTTTCAATTATAATCTCATCTTTTTCCTCTTTTCATCATTTATTATTGGAATCATTCATTCATTATCTGTTATATGTTAAATTAAACATTAAACGCCATTTTGATTTTCATATTTTTTTACTAACAAAATTCATCTGGCAAGGTTTAACTCATTTGGCTACTATTCCAGGATAATCAATTCATGACATTTTCAATTCAATTTGTAGCTTACATTTCTTAATTCAATTGATCAATTGCTTATTTATATTTTTATATCTAATGTCTTATGTATATATTTTGAAGGATTACAGTTTGGGTTTGGGTTTGTGTGTGTGTGTGAGTCAGTGTGTATGTTTTTTCCTGCCTTTGTTCAATTAGATTTGGTTCTGAATTTCATTAGTTACTGTTGAACCAACGAATCAACTTGAACAGTTTAGCTTTTCTTGTTGATTTTATTACCCTTGTCTAACTAAATTACCTTAATCAGGTTGCTCTCGAAATGAAAAATAGATGTAAAAGCTGGATCCACTTTGGTTGGCTTTTCTTTCGCCTCTAATTCAGTGAACTCATTTTTAACTCTACAATCATATTAATTGATCAAACAACTCTCATAATCAAATTGTACTGATTAGTTAACTTGTGGGTTTAACATGCAAAAACTGGATCCAGATTGCAACACCAATTCAACAGTTTGATACCAACTGAAATTATGACTTTATGAATTCACATCTAATTCTGGTCACTACAGTAGCAATGGTAAGTCAGTAGAGAAACCGGTAACTGGTAAAGACAATGGAAGTTGGATTATGTTAAGATATTTCCAAGAGAATCAAAATTTATTGTAAGTAAATGGTGTGTACACTTTACTTTTCGTGTATAACACTGTATATAATCCTAATGAAATGAAAATGCAAGCAGGGATGAAAATAACAAGAGCATAAATTCGCATATTTATACTGATAAGTGTTTCTCCTGAGGTTGAAGAAATTGAGGTTACTTTGGGTGATGATCTTGAATCCGTAGAATTGTTTGGCACTTGGTTCGACCTATTATCAAATTTATCAGCTAAGAAAACAAAATCATAAATATTTGGCTGGTCAGTAAATAAGATACCAGAATTTTGCACATCCAGAAAATATTTTTCTTCGTCCTCTATACCAGGTTGACCAGAACGATTACCTTTGGTTAAAGTGATTTGCCGGAATGCGTAATGTTGTGTATCACTGGCATAAAATCGTATGTAGTTTTCATGTTTAAACATTTCAATTGTATAAAATTTTGCATCGTTATACTTTTCACCGGCAAGACAATTGGTTATAATGAGATTACGTGATGACCCATCTGGACCAGAAAGACGTTCAATTTTACCATTTCCATAGAAAACGTAAATTTCATGAGACTCTTTATCAATAACGAAGGAATAAATTAATCCATCAGTTTGATTTGCACACATAAGTAGATTTTTCTCTTGCGATCTCGGTGATCCAGACCAGATACATTTTTTTGACTCGATCCAGTATAACTTATCCAGCGTTTCATCGTAAAGCACTTTACCAATATCAACATTGTCAATTATAACATTCCTATTGATTTTAACAATTTTATCACCATCATTCGGCAATATATCACTTATGAGATCCTCTCTTTCTATTCTCTGTAATAGGGGTAAGCTTGCAAACAATTCACCACGTTTTTCATCATAAATTAAACTTCTAATATGAGATCCAATTTTACTATTTGAAGAATCACTCAATTGTCTGACATCACTAATTAAATTATTGGATGAGTTCAATCGACCACTCCATAATGATTGAGATTCAGAATCTCCCCATATTAGATTTATATCACCAGTTGATGGTTCAATAAAATAATCAAGAGATGTAATCCATCCAAGATCATTTTGACTGCATGGTTTACCGTCGATACTCAATGGTACTTCCAATTTTTTTGACCTAGGAATTAAAGAACCATTTTGGGTACTTGAAAAAAATTTCAAAATCAAACACGGACCGGTTGAATAAATAACTATAAGATCATCTGAAAAGAGAATGAAAGAAAAAACATCAATTAGAACGATAAAGAATCAAAAGCAGAGATGATACACTCGGCATCAAGCCGGCTTAGCAATCTCGGTGTGATACCAGTTTAGCTTGAGCGATCTGACTAGAGTACCAGGAAAGAAACAATGAAATAAATGTAAATTTTATACAAACCTGATAATCTTTGATGACTACTGAATGGCAGGAAGGCAATAATCACAATTAACTGAGCGAATATAATTCCATTTCTAAGACCGGAAAATCTTAAAGTGGACAATGTTGGGACCATGTTGGTGTGTCGAACAAAATGTTGAACAAAAGAAAAAAAGCCAACCAGAAAAGGTTACTTTTTAAAGGAGCACAAGCTTATGATTAACTTTAATTTGTAGTTGCACTGTAGAGTTAAGTATAAATATTAATTACTAAATAAATTAAATAACAATGAAATTACTAACAGAAAATAAAAATATTTAGAAACAAAAAATGTATTGAACGACAAAAAGGTTAACTGGTGGACGTGATTATTGGGAAAACCAAGATCAGAAGCACAGTAGAAAAGTCTGTTAGAAATTACATTCATTTTTTGTTGGTTAGTTATCTGATAATTAAACAGCTATAAAAAGCAATTAATTACTAAACTTATGATGTTATTGATGATGATGATTCTCCCCCTTAACATCATCCGTTCGTCTTAATTCCGAAATAATTACAAACATCATTTTTATCATCCGTGATGAATCCTATCCCTATAACCTTACTGAAGACTCCTTTAACCAAACTCTCAGCTGTGATCTCACCTTGTTTGACTTCTTGCTCTTCCCTCTCTTTTTGGTTCCCTTTTGCACACCTTCTTCTATCCTTCCTTTACTCTTTACTTTTCCTTATTATTGATGGCTAAACAATAGCTAAATTAAAATCACCATCAACTTAATCATCTACACCATCATCATCAACATCATCTTTAATCTACCCTATCATCCTCAATAGCTGAATGTTCATGTTTACAGTCACGTACGCATCTAATATATTCAATAATAATTGACCGCGTGTTATGACCTGGGAATAGTTGATTTGTTTGTTATTTTTTAATACTTTCTTTATTGCTTCTGTTTACTAATGAGTTCATCGTCAATGGCTTCATTCAGCTAATATTACCTTCATATTTGATAATCAATGTTACAGTTTGTTTTGTTGACACTTGCAATGTAGTGTTTTTACTCTACTCTTTGGTAAGTCTTGTCTTTTCTATATTTTATTGTCAACTCATTTATTTCATGAATTTCCTATTAATTCGGTATTTCATCTCTTGTTATTTCAGTTAACTCTATAATATACTCAACATGGCATTGAGTAAGCCTTCACCGGTTTTAATGGTAATAAGCTCTAAAAAAGATGAAGAATATATTGAATGGCTTGAAAATCAATGGTCTTTCCTGTTTCAAAAAATTATTGGAATGCAAAGATTGTTTCGCTATAGAAGACAACTGAATTTAATTGCGCCCTTATCATACTATATATTGACCACGTTATCAGGATTACAAACCTTAGGCGAAGAGTACACTTCTCTCATTCAAATTGATGGCTCCAATAAAATTGGTTTTAAAATTCCTTCTAAATTGCGTCGAACAATTATGGTTGGTGTTAATTGCATATATCCATTGATTACCAGTATAATCATTCCAAGATTGATGAGAAACTCTGAAGAATGGGAGAAAGATTCAGTTTTATTTATTTTGGAGAAATTACAACACATCAATTTGATACTCTTTTACATTTTTGGAAGTTTTTACCATTTTTCCAAGAGAATCTCTAACGTTAAATACGCTACTTATACTAGACTGACTGATGATTATCGAAAGTTTTACCGCTTATTAGGATTGCTGTCAACTCTTGAATTTGGCTTGTCAATGATGATCGCTTACAGAATCAAAAAATATGAAAAGGAAAAGGCTCAACAACAAAGTACTGAATCAACGGAGGTATCTGTTGCTGGTCCTAGGTGCACACTTTGCTGGTCATCCAGAAAAGATACAACTTCTACACCTTGTGGTCATCTTTTTTGTTGGACTTGTATTTGTCAATGGATTTCTATCAAGAAATTCTGTCCTATTTGTCGTACTCAAATTGATGGTGGTCAAAAACTGATTTACATAAACAATTGATACTGTCATTAACCTTTTCTCGAGTTGGGTTGCCGAGTAAATATTGTGAATAATTTATATGTTTGGGGCTTAAAGAATCATTGTGCATTTATAGATTTAATTTATTTTGTTTTTGTGCCTTATTCGGTGATTAAACTGATTTTTAGCATTTGTTTAATGTTATAATGTAATGAAAAATATTTTGGGCTTACTTTTTCAAAATAAATGGATACATTTCAACTGAATTTCACTCAACTATTGTTATGAAGATGGCCTTGCAGGAAAATAACACCAACATTTACCAGTTATACTCTCGAAATCAATGATTATGAACTATGCCTTATTCTCGATAAATTTCATTTCCCTAGCTTAACCCATTCCCATGAGAAAGGGTTGATTGCCTTCCTTTTCCGAATAACTCGTATTTTCCTTTCATTTGAAAATTATGACTTTTAAATAGACAATAGATTTAAAAGATTCATGAAAGATCATAGTGACCTCACTTTACAAATTAGTGTTAAGTTTACTCGCTTAATCAGCGCTGAGGGTATTTTATTCTTATATCGATGTTAGCTATTTTTCAAGATTTTTTCATAGCAAAAAGTTTAGAAGTCTGCTTTGAACTCCCAAAAATTTTCGATAGTAATTATAAAAAATTATGACACTCAAATTATCCGAATTCAGCCCAAAGCTCTAATTTTCACCGATGACCGCTTCTATCAGACACTCGATTTAGATTTTAGATTGACATGGATTTATTAACAAAACAAAACTTGAGAATGCTCGCGCTCAGTCTGATTTTGCCGAGTTGACTACAAGAGAGATTATGAAAAATGTAAAAAAGTGTTGAAGCATCAATTTTTTAATAAATATTTTTCACCACATGAAGCGTTGAAGCTCATTGCTGTTTGGCCATTTAAACGGCCTAAGAATAAACATGTACAATGTTAAAGAATTGATAAAAATATTGAAAGCAAGTTCCAGAGTTAACGACATGGATGAGTTTGAGGCGATATTCAACCTCCAAATGACAAAAGCAGGCACAAAATACCGAAATTCCAAAAGCTCTTGCGGTATTGTTATTATGCAAATAGATAATATGAACAAACATTTCCAAATATTGTCCTTTCGATGAAGCAAACTAATGAAAGACAAGCTTGTTAAAAGGCACACAGGAATCAAGGAAAATCGTATGAAATACTTTTCACTACCAAGTATCCTTCTCCACAGATAAAAAGTGTAATGCCGGTTATCAGCTAACAAATAGGAATGTGGCGAGTTTTGATATTTGATTATGAGAAATAACGCAATTGATATTATGATAACTGTTGTCGATTTTTGGTAACAATATAAAATAAATCTGCGCAAATTGTTGATAAGTAATATCCAAGGAGCGGCAAAAAGACAAGTAAAGAAGAGAAAATAAACAATTTGTGCCAGATGAAAAGTAGCCTGATGAGCACTTCTATCTCCAAGAACGATACCTGAGCAAGATACAAGGGATAAAAAGAAAATTTAAAATTAGAAAAATGAGCTTGAGTAAGGTACAAAGAGGAAACATTTATAATTGAAATACCTTGATTGTAGTACAAAAATAAACCGAATAGTAATCCAGTTATTAAATATCCACCTAGACTAAGGAGTATTTGAGGTATAGATGAAATTAAATTAGATAAAAGCCGCGAACGTTTTTTGGATCTTTCAAGAGCTGATTGGAGAATCTGTGAAAATAAGCAAATGAAGCGAAGATTACGTAAAAGTGAATTGAAAAGCACAATTATGTTTGAACCTTACTTTTAGAGAGGAATAAGAGGCGAAAAAGAAACACCAGACAATATTTGTTTGTCTGAAAAATAGAGAAACGAGTCCTAATAGTGACGCGGTCCAAGTTCGGTCACTTATGTGCATAAAATACATGGCAAGTATGAAGAAAAGGGAACCAGAGTCCGTATAAAATAGAAAATTAAAGAAAAATAAAGCTGGAGTTGTTGATAATGAAACGGCTGAAACCAAAGTTTTGATGCGACTCATTCGCTGTTGTAAAAAACGAAAGAAAATAGAAAAGAAATTAACATGAGATAATGTCCAAAATGACTGAAACACGGAATGTGTCCATAAAGACCAAAACTTACAGCTGTATATTTGTTTTGTTTTGAGCTAATGAGATACATAAGTAAGACATTTCCAACAGCAAAAAGTAAATTTATGAAGCGAACCAAAGGAACAGGGCACTTGCGATTTGGATCTTCTTCGGCAAAGGCAATTAACTCCGATACAGGTTTGAATAGAACCCATGTTGTGAAATAAAGTCCAGGAGGAGTGGTTATTTTAGGATTCCACTGATAAGAAGACATGAAGTTAGATATTATACATATGCTAGACATGAAGAATTTTGTTGTCGTTCGGAAGAAATAAAATAACTCACATATGTAAAATTATGAACACAATAAGAACGAACTTGTTGAATGTGAAATATTTCGTCCATATATGGCTCTTGGACTTCTTCATTGACAAGCATGTAAATACTCAGCAAAGAGGTAAGATACGTGAATCCTATTATTGCAGCAATTTTGTTAAACAGATGATCAGGCTGGAGTTGAGTAGCAGACCCATTTGTTTTGACTGTGTCCGAAAATTGAGACATTTTGAATAAATGTCACGTATTGATTTCAGGTGAACCAAATGACGAATGGAAAAATTCATTCAAAGTTGAGTCGTTAATGATGATGAAATCAGTATTAAAATATAACAAATGTGTGTTGAGGCTGTAATGAGAAAGTAAACAATTTAAACAGTTTTAAACAAAATAAATAAGCCAAAATGCCAAAAGGCAAGCACAATTTCGCAAAGAAGTGAATCCGATCATTGAATACAATGGTAAACGTGTCAAAAGAAATTGTGTAAAATAGAAACCAGTTGAGAAGAGATGAAACAAAAGGTAAAAAGAGTGGTCAATAAAAGGAATGGACAGGTTTATATTCACGCTAGCTGTCATCCAAGGTCAGCTAATTAACCGAATTGACAATGGAGACAGTTTGTAATTAAACAAGTTCAATAGCATACAAATATGGGAAGCACAAGATTTTGGATATTGACAATAAATTATTCCAATGTTGACAAGTTTTCCAATGGGTTTCAATGAGAAAAGAGCGGTAACACAGTTTATAAAAAACATTATTCTCCAAAGAGTGGTCAGTATTTTAAACTTACTTTGTTAAATTGAGTAATCAAAAGTTGTTTTGACCATGACTCGATGATTTAATTAGATGATCGATAATTAATAATCAAATATTTGCTTGACTTTATTTTCATACTCTTAGACTGATGTTAAATCTTCTAGTCAGCTAAGGCGGTAAAATTGAAAAAAACAACTGATGGATATCATCAGGTTAACTCTGGTTTGTGTGGATTGATCCTATCTTTGTTATAAAGATTTTCACTGTGATAATTTTCTATAAAATAATTGTTCTGTACATTATTAATTTAGATTCATCTATTTATATTATTTCGATTATATTCAACATTTAACATCGTCATCTGCTAAGGTGCTGGTATTATGTGACCTAAGTTCTTTAACTTGCGATTTAACCTTTAATGCTTTTGAAAATTCTCTTCTTAAGTGTTGTGACTTTGATTCTCTATTTGAGTTCAGTATTTTCAATTTATTTGGTGTCCACATCAGTTTCAGATTCCTGTTAAGTGCCAGTTTCTCTGTAATTTGGTAAGTTTTAGTAAAATTAACGATATTTTAGTGTTTTACTGATTTATAGCTGGTTTTTTTCTGAATTGTTTCTACTTTCACTTTCTCTTATTGATAGGTTGCCATTATCGGACTTAAAAAAGTGGATTTATTGCAGACTTTGGCTGACAAAATTTGGAAATTGAATACTCAAATAAAATGGTTAATTTAAATTCAGATGGAAATACAAAAGCAGCTGAAAGAAAGCAAGCCATTAAGCAATTTTACTCAACTGTGCTTTGTCAAGAGTTTTCTCATGATGGCCTTCACCTCATCTCATCGTTGAAAAGTGGTAAATTAGCATTATTTGGAATAGGCCAGATATTTGATTCACATGCCAATCATACATCATCCAGTAAATCTGTTTATCAGCCCAAATTTTCATTTCAAGCCCATAAAGAGCCTATTTATGGTTTAACCAAATCTAAAACTCATGTCTTCACTGGTAGTAAAGGAGAAATTAAATGCTGGAAGTGGATTGATTTAATAAATCAGAATTCAACAGAACCTCAATGGACAATTACTCTGCAGCTAGGTGATTCAATATTGAGACCAGACATAAATGCCTTACTTCTGACTGGTACGGAAGGAGATGAAATGCTTTTAGCGGGCTGTGGAGATAACAAAATTCATGCCTTTGATATGGAATCGAATAGACCCAAACTTACGCTTCTTGGGCACACAGATTATATCAATTGTATAGCGTATTCTAAGGAGAACAATGTTCTTTTTTCGGGAAGTGAAGATGGATCGGTTAGACTTTGGGATCTCAGAACTTGTAAAACTGTTAACATAATTGAACCCCATAAACATTGTGAATTAAATCGTCAATCTGGTAAATGGATTGGTAGTTTAGCTCTTGATAGCTCTTCTGGATGGATGGTCTGTGGAGGAGGGCCTCATCTAAGTAGCTGGCATCTACGGTCACTGTCTCGAGGAATCGTCTTTGAAAGCTCTGCTCCTGATGTAACATCTCAAGTATCTCTCATCCACGATGATATAGTTGTGTCGGGAGGAAGCTCACCTTTAGTAACATCATGGCACTTGAATGGTAAAATTTATTCTGAGATTCCTTGCGAGCCATTTCACATCTACAGCATTGCTATCCATGAGAAAGATAACGATTCAATCATGGCTATTGGTGGAGCAAGCTATAAGATTAATATTTGCACTAATTTCAAGTACAATGATTTTCATTTGGAAGTTTCTTAGTTTTACAAGATTCTAACGTCAAAATCGCGTGTAAAGAAATCAATTCAATATGGAACGCGAAAAGTCATAGCCGAAGTGGTGCCATCAATTCTCTATACTAAACACTTCATGCCATCAATTTAATATTTTTTTTGAAATTTCATGTAAACCTACATCAGACAATAGTCATTTTGTGATTAAAATTTTTGCTTCGGACAATTGTTTCCAAAAAAGGTAATTCTTTAAAACATGTCGGAAGAAAGGTTATATGAGAAACAGTTGTAATAAAAATCACTTATTGAAGTAACTAAAATTTTGCATTTTAACTTAAAGACTAATTCAATTTGGGAGTAAACAGTTCATTTTAAATAAATGTGACTTTATAATGCTCTTCTTTAACTTGAAAAGGGAGAAGAAGAAGAAAACAAATTCCATTTTTAACATTGAAATAACCAATATCATTCACAAATTAGAGACTTGGACCAGGTTAATCATTTTTCTTCGTGATGATTGCTTTGAATATAATGATTACCTGCTATACAATTTATTCAAAAATCTATTTGACTGTTTGTTGAATTATGTGAATAAGCAAGTTTAAGAGGGATTGTCTTTTTTGAATAGAAAAATAGAGAAACCACAGTTGATTGATTGCTTGATTATAAGTGAATGGATAAGGTTGATAAAGATGACAGCACAAATTGTAAGAGAGACGAAAAAACATCCGAACTGGAGTTCCTTTCAAGTAGATAAATATACACACAATATGGATGATTGGAAATACAGCGTATGTTCATTTGCGTTGCTTGTGTCCATAACAATTTTTACATTCATCATCGTCATCTTCCTCATCTGAGCTTTCACCAAATTCTTTCGGTTTATCCCAAATACAGCAGCATTTAGAGGATTTTTTACCCAACAGTTCATTATCGACAGTCTCCGATCCCCATGTGACCTTTTTTCTTTTTTTAGGCTTGGCTAGTTTCAACTGAACCAAAGGAGCTTGATCATCACCACCTTCTCGACTGGTACTTGGAGTCGGAGCTATTTCTTGAATCAAAGTGGAACTAGGTATTGAACTACTGACAACTGAGTCCATTGGAATTGTGAGTTAACAGCAAAAACTGGAAAACAGAGATAAAAGAAGACGAGTGATGTAAAAAAATGAAAGACCAGGAAGGAAATGGCTTAAAATCTCACGCTTAATTAATTTGTTATTGAATTGAGAGAAAGTGAAAACGAAGAATAGAGAATAGAGAAAAGCAAAGGATAGATGAAAACATAACCATAAAAGAGTGATACTTACCAGGATAAGATTATTACCAGATTGGGGTCAATTAAAGAGAAATAGAAAGAGATAAAATGTGATCCGATAGAATAATAATCAAAAATGAATGCAAAACAAGACGAAAGGTTGCCAATTAACGCCAAAACTGGATAAAATAAAGACAATCAATACTCGCTGAAGTAATAATAAACAACAAGAATCAGATTTTACAGTAACATGATCCAATAGATGTCACCATCAAAACCAGAAAAAAGCTAATAACAAAGACGTCATCTGTCAATAATTTAAGAAATTAATTCTAACTAAATGAGTAATCAGATTACCTTGAATTTTTAAAAATGAACATTCGAGGTAAACAAATTTACAAGAAAACCAAAATAACCAGAATAATTGGCTTAATAACAACTCAGATAATTTTAGTCAACAATCCTAACAAGCACAAGATGGCGTTTACAGTATCAACATCAAGAACGAGTTTAATTTCAAAAAAAGTAATCAAAATAACAATAAAAGCTGACATTCAGATTAATGTGAAAAAGGACAAAAAATAAAGAGCGAAATGAACAATTAAAATATCTTCTGAACCTTTTAAATCAACTAACCCAACTTGATCTGAAGTCAGAAGATGAACAGAAGAACTTTGTAGCGCCCTCTATCGGTCTATAGATAATTTGTACTCCCTGGAACTGTTATTTGAGACTAAAAATTGTTACAGTTAAGTTCAACTTTTATCTTCTCTTTGTTTATCTCTCTTTCTCCTTTTTTCCTCCTTCATTTCTCACTTTTCCTCTTTCCACTTGTTCAGTTCCAAGTCAATCCCAACGTTTAACCAAGTCAGTTTATGAATGTTACCCTTTTGAAAAGGATTGAAGCCTAAAGTGAAAAAGGAAACTCAAATAATCTTGTAAACCATTTCTACTCATCTTGTTACTATCAACATCAACATCAAAATCACAATCATCATCATCATCGCCATTATCGTAAACTTGCCTCTTATATACAGTCAACTTTCCTTTACCTTTTATCATCATCCAAAAAGTATCACATCAACATCATCATCATCATATTACATCGAGTGAATAATCATATAAAAAAGAGCCTTTCCTTTCAACTGAAAAAAAACTTTGGATATTCAATGAGAGATAGATTATGACTGCTATTATGATTACCGACATTAACATGTTAGATTATTGTAAGAAAAAATTTTGCCTTTACTTTACAAGGTTTCACTGTCCAGAGTGAATCCATTCAACCAATTTAACAAATTTACACTCGCTAATCTCAGTTGAATGTGCAAACAAAAAGAGGACAAATAATAGCTTGTTTAAGGTCACTTCAAGTGTATTAAACATTCAAATAAATAGTCGATAGAAATATTTGGAGGAGAAGAAAAAAAGAAAAGGTTTGTCCGAAAGAATTCAAAATGACCAAACAAATGTTGATGTTAATCTTTCCATTTCAAATTATGATTACAATGATGATGATGATGTCCATGATGATCAGTAAATCCATTGTTACCTAGTCAACCATTTAATTTTGATTAAAGCTCAATTTTACTTTTGATTTGATGTTGAATTGATTGGAAAAAAAGACTCGACCATTTTTCGTTTACTGGTTAAAATTCACATTTATATTGTTCAGGGAATTGAAATTTTTTACTTTTCCTTCAGTTTTACTCGATTCTCATCATTTCCATCCTTCATTCAATCTTGACCTTTTCTCCCTGATGCGGGTGAAAAGAGAAATTTGAAGTGAAATTTGTTATTCCAAATCTAAATTCAATTGGAAAATTTCTTCTATTTTGGATTCGCCCATTTTTTACGTTCTTCAACTGTGACTTTACCAAAACTGTCAACATTGGTATAACATGTTTAGTTGATGTGAAACACTGGAAATAAAGGGGCAAAGACCACTTCATTTAATGGTTCATCAAGGTGAATCCAAAGTGTGACCAGAAATTTGTGTTCATCTCCTAACATCATTCTTATACAACCAGTGTCTGGATAAAAGTTTGAAGCTGTTGTTAACCATAAATTGTGCCCAAAAATTGCCTCCTTAGCTGATTTAAATTAAATTAATATTTGTTTTTTTATCAACCATTTTTTTTGTTTTTATAATTTTATTCCGTTTTTGGTTAATTTGTATCAATGTCAACGCCATCTAGTTTTTAGGTTATTACCTTTTGTTAATTAAAACAATTGAATCATTGGTCAATTTTAGATCATGTGATTATTTTTATTTTCAAATTTTAATTTAACGATTTCTATTTACATTTGGTTTCGTTTTTTTTTAATTTTATTTATTTTCGGTTTATTTGCACCTCATTTACCAGCCTAAAGTTAGTTTATGTTGATATTATGTTAATTTTATGCTGATTTAAGCCTGGTTCAAACTTGACTTAATCCTGGTTTAGTCTGGTGTTGGTTTAACTGTTATATTTTTGGAGGTTGTTTGATATTCAAAGATGGTATCCTTGGTTAATCATTTAATCAAGCTGGATAGATTAATCCTTCACTGTTTCCATTGGATTTTAACCAACATGGTAATTCAAACTTGTGTTTTATTCCTTTTATTGTGCATTGTTACAACCAACGGGAATAACCATGATGGACCCTCGCCTTTTGACCATGAGACACTTTCACCTCGTTCAGTCAACACCAAATATGGTGCCTTAAGAGGTTTTGTGATCTACTTTAAAAATATTGATCGATCAGGTTTTCCTGGTTCACGACCATTCCCTTCCTCTTCCCCATCCTCACCAGGATCACCAGCAACATCAGGATCATCTTCCTCCTCTAATCAATCCTCGTCCTCACCAACAACTCCAACAACCTCCTCATCAACCTCTTCATCCTCTTCGTCCTACTCTTCAACCTCATCAACCTCATCGACATTCACTTCAAGTAAATCAAATCTTGCCTCAATGACACCAGTTGAAGTGTTTCTCGGTGTTCCTTATGCAACTCCTCCAATAGGTTCACTACGATTTATGCCACCAGTGACACCAACTCATTGGCGAGGTGTTAAACTGTCTAATCGGTTAGGTCCGGTTTGCCCACAAAAATTGCCCGACATTACATTGAAACAATGCAAGTGTAATGATGGTGAAAATAAAGGTCATCGATCCAATGCTAATAATAGTAATAATGTAAATAGTAATAATAGCGGCCAATCATCAACAACATCATCATTTGATTTACCTGAAGGAAGATCTGCTCATTTGAAACGATTAATACCTTATCTACGTAAACAATCAGAAGATTGTTTGTATCTCAATATTTTCGTACCTTTTGCTCAAAGTAAGTTAATCAACTCCATTGTTACCTATCCAATGTTATCACACGTTATTATTATGTTATCCAACTATTAACCCATCAAATACAATTAACAACATCTTGTTGATCCATAAATAACAAGAGCTAAATAAAACTGGAAATAATTTTCACAACCAGAAAAAAGCAAAAACCCAAAAAATCCAACCTTTATAACCATCTTTGCACACTAACATTACCAGTTATTTACATTCACCCAAAACAATTGTCATTGATAGAGCTAATTATTGTTCAATTATTGTCCATTATCGTCTTGGAAGGCAAATTGTTCAAACAAATTAACCATTAATTTGATAACAGATTCTCATTTTGATTGAAAAAGTTGATAATAATAACAATAATAAGCTGTCTGTAGCCTAAGGTTAGAACATCCATTTAACTGAATCTGAAGAAGGCGAAAAAAGTTCAACAATTTTGGCCGAAGAAAAAAAAAAGAAAAACATTTTCTTTTCCTTTTCTCGCAAAAGGTTGAGTCGAAAAGAAATGAAAATGAAAAGTTCTGTCAATGTTTTCATGGCAACTTTTATCATGTTATAACACAATCAAATAAGGGAAACAATTTGGCAAAAGTCAAAGAAAATTTCATTCTCATCTTGAATAATCGGAAACAGGAAATAACCTTTCATTATAACAAGTTTTTGCTCATTTCGCTTCAGGCAAAAAACCCTCCATGAAACAGACGAAAAAAAATATTGAAATTTGATAATGAAATGACAATTGGGAAAAGAGTAAAGAAATAATCTGATGAATGTAAACTTACTCTAATTAGCTGCATATTCATATGTTGATTACAGATTATTTGTTTCCTTAATTGTCCTTAATTAACGTATATTTTTACACTTGATTGACATAAGTTTAACCAACAAGCGTCATTGTTAATTCGTACATTCATTTCACTCAAATTACATGTTAATTTTTTATTGACTTTTCTATTCTCTCGCCATTCTTTCAAATGTTTTCATCTTTCAGATGCAAATTCAAATGGCGCAAACATTAATTAAAACTAATTACTAATGATGACTAAAACTGGCATGTAATTAAATTTAATCTTTCAGAGTAAATGATTGAACAGAAGCAGAGAAAGTGTTGAATTTTGCTTTTTTTTAAAAAGGTTTACCTTACATCTTCAGTAATAATGATACTTTCGTGACTGAAATAGATTAAAATTTCATATTTACCTTCATTTGATACTCAATTAAAGGTAATGATCATTTTGTTCACTCTATAATTAACGAATCAACTCTTCTCGTTTTTCAAATTATCTGTTTGATTAAATATTTTTGAGGTAAAAATGTGAATGGAAATTAGGTAAATATGGTTTAACGATCATTTCATGATTTTATTACAATTAAACTAATTGACTTTCTGATTATCTTTATATTTATTTTGCAGTTTCAAGATTCCGAGTCGAGTAATGATGCGAATAAAATGAGATTTATTTTTTGTCGAAAAATTTACAACTTTTTTCTTTTTTCCAATCTGCTTGCTTCTCAACTGTAATGTTAACTGTTATCGTGAAGACGCGAGGATAAAGCCAATGAATGGAGTGGGAAGTTTAGGCAAAAAAGTCTCGAGAGATTCGGTTATTATGATAATTAAAGAAGCTCAATTAGTTTCATGGTTCCTTTTACAATCCAATGTTGCTATTGAGTTTCATATTGTTGCACCCAAGTAATCCAAGCAACTGTTTTGAACGAACCAGGGAATGATATTTGAATATGAAAAAGGATTCATTTATTGTGACGAAAATGATTCTCTAAATAAACGTGATTTTCCATCGATATTGACAGCAATAGAAAAGTCAAATACACTTTGAGAAAATGAAGTGACAATGTTTTGAAGCTTAAAACGCCTCTTGGAGGGAATCCAGGAAACGTCCAACAAAGTCAATCCCATGTCTGTTGGGTTGCTTGACTATACTTTTTTGCTATCATTACCATAGTATTTAGTCTTAGCAAGAGTTTATCTCCGTATTTCGATTGAGCATTCAATCTGAATCTATTCGCGACTAAATCCAGTAATCGATATTCCATTTACCAAGATCTGTCATCGGCCTAGAACCGTCTCTGGGAAAAGTGCTCTTGCCAGAGGAACTTGCAGATTTAGTTGAAATAATTGTGACTTTAGTCATTATGCAGCACCGCTTTTCACCTTCAATGGGGAACTTTTGCGCTCTTTCCTTGTACTTGCCATTACTCAGGAAATCGAGCACTATCAAGGAATCTATCAATATAAGTTGGATTGACAGAAAATATTATTGAAACACTTTCCAGTCCGAAAAGAGTGTTGCCTATTTGAAACAAAAAACCTTTCGAAGATATAAGTGTAAAAATTGAACTTGAACTTGTTTTCCTAGAATGAAAGTTATTAATCAAGTTTATCATTTGAACATTTTACCAGTTTTGTTAACATTCATACCTTTTCAATATTTATTTTTATTCTGACATTTCCATCTGAGAATTCAATTTACCAAGTGAACAAATAATCCCATTTTCATGAGCAACTTGCTCGTAATGAGCTATCAATATTAATTGTAGCTGCAGTTATAATTCCTATTCTGGTTTTGTCTTATACCTTGTCAATAATAGTTTACTGAACGTTTTTTTCATTATCTGCTTCATCTAATATCATTTAGGTTTGATTTAATTTACTTGTTTCTTTACCAACTTTAATCATTATTTCCCTTTATTTCCCATCACTTTACCATGTTCACCATTTTCATCATCTTTTACCTTCTCTCTTAACCCAAAACCCAAATAAAAACTGTCTTCTAATGGCGTGATTAGTTTCAATTAAAAGTTGATCATAAATAATTTAAATTTCCAGTTTGAGTATAAAAAGGATTCTCATTCCATTAATAACATTATCTGTAACAAGGAAAAAAGGAAACACTTTTCAACCTTGTAACCTTTCAATTGAACAAAACTTGATATCATTTGTCGTCCAAACTGACCTCTTACAGTGAAAACATTGATTACAATTAAACTTGTCCAGTTTGATCTTACCATTGTTTGTCCTTTCATTTATGGATCAAAGGCTGTCATTGAATGTGACACATTTCAACACTTTTTACATATTTATGCTTTTCCTTAACTCAAGTTGACTGTTGATTTTGACGTTGATTATGATAATAAAGAGACGCAATTATTTGGAACAATTGATTACTGGCAATCAATTGGAACTTGCAACTAGAATTATGAATATGTTGAAATAATGGAATGATTATTGGACAATAACTGAACAAGGGTCAGACATTGAACCTCAAATTGAATTGTCTTCTCTCTTTTACCATGAAAAATTATCATGAAAATGATGAATGAATTTGACAATAATTTCCAAATGTATTTACTGTTTCATGGTAATGATGATATTATCTGGTTAAAGACGGAAAAGGCGTTCAAGATTGTTCCAAGTGAAATGGCAAAAAAGGATTCTTCTTCTTCTCGTTTGACCAATGATTATGTGAATTATTGTCCTTGCTATTGATGGACAAGGCGAGGCTTTCTGTGATTTCTGGATTTACTTTTTTTCCTTCTTCTATTGGCTGTTGATTGCGTGATAATTTGTTACCCACAATTGGACAGTAAAGAAAAATTGAGTGAATTAGTTATTGCAATGATTATTAGGATGATGAGGATGGGGATGATAATGAGAAGGAGTTAGTGAGTGAAACACGTAAATATAATAACATGATAAAGAATGGCAATTGAGTGAAGAAGAGAATAGAAAAGGAAATGAATCAAGACAAATGGTCAAGGGAGGGAAGAAGGGGAGTGAAATGAAGACAACGGAAATGGTCACAATAATGTATATTTATATGTATAGATATTGGAGACATTTAAACGTCAAGATTGGACAAAAAACAAAAGATGAAGTAATTATAATCAATGTAATTCTCCATTAGTTATTAGGTTGACCAAAACTGCTCTACGTGATTTTCACTTCAAATTATTTGCTCAACTGCTGCAATTGACTTTTCATTTCGTACAGTCAAACAGTTCATTAGGCAAGACTCATTTGTTTCAAGTCACATGGTAATCCTTTTTCCCTAGTCTTCTAATTTGAACAAAAAGACTGATTCGAAATTAGCTTATTTGTGCGCTTTTTATTATGAAAAGTGGTACAGCTAAATTCATGTCTTTCAATTGAAATGTCAGTTCAATGGGTCTGAATAAACTTACAGAATCCAAAATGGGTGGTTCACGAAAAATGGGAAACGAGTTTTTTCTTGTGAGGTTTCGATTTTATTTTTTCAGAACGGGGAAGTTAAACCATTCGTGAGTATTGATTAAAACAGGCGTAAAAGTTAGCTGAATGGTATAATAGTAACATTTATAATTTCCACTAAAATATAATAGCCTTAATCAACTTGTGTAGGAATAATTGCTTGAGTTAAACTTATTCAAGTTTTTCCATCAGATATCAGAGGAGTATCAAATGATGCCGTCTAACCTTGAGATCAAGTCCTTGCCAAAACTCAAACTTCCGATTCTAATGGAATCGGGTGATTTAGTTGAACCCATGGGTTCGATTGAACTCCGCTTCTTATCGAATTATTTTTCAGTCATGTGAAAATATTATTTTTCATCGGATATTTTTTTCGTTCATTAGCTTGATGCATTTTTTTACTTAATCATATCCAAATGTTTTGAACCCGAATTTGAAAATGAAAATGGGTACTGAAATGGACCAGCCTATTCACGACTGTGCCAAGGCTTAAACAATATTCACTTTTTCATTATTCAGTAAGTTTACTCGAATCGATGGAAATTATCAGAGGAAAATCACGAGAAACAAATCGATTGATTCTCCATGACAAAACAGGTCAACTTGT